ATTGTTGAGTATTCTGACTGCTAAAATTTCAACAACATAAACTTTATTCTAGTCTACAAATTATTTGCCATTCATTTTGAACATTTTTATTGATTAGGGTGTACTATGCTGCTTATATTAAGTGATAATGCCAGATGATTTTGGAACGCACATGTTTATCATTATGTTAAGTGTTAAGTCACATGTAATTTATTTTTTACACTTAATGAACAGTCTGTATTAATGCTCACAAATAGGAGATTATTAATCTAAAATAAGAATTATCCAAATAATTTTTTGATGGGTTGATTTCCAACATAGCTGTGTTATAACAATTAGTTAATTGCTGTTTGACTATTCAATAACTTTTATTATGATTGGTTGATTCCGACAAGGTAAATATGAATAGTTTCATACATTGATTTCATCGTTATGATTACAAATGGTGCAATTTCATTAATTCAGCATTTAGATAGACAATTATGATTGCTTCTATTTATTATTTGTTATCTCTATTTTGTTAAATTAATAAATCACTATAAAGAAAAGGGCTCTTTTGCATGATATCATTATTTATTGTACTTAATCCGTGACTTTCACTTCTAATGCCGGACGCTTGACAAAGGAACAGTCACTACCTATGTTCACGTCCTAGGTTTGAAGCACCGCTCAGAACGAGAGTCGAACCCGGTACCTCTCTAATCACAAAGTGTATATAACCTGTTGTCTGGCGCTTAATTGTCCTCTGAACCCGCTATTTCTACCCTCCACTATATAAGCAGAGAGAGAAAACTCTATGTCAAGAACAAAACTTTGTATCAAATTTACGCTGATTTATTTTCTGCGATTCAGAAATCGTCGCCAACAAAGCGGAAATTGGATACACGCGGAAAAAACCTGAGATACGGTATATCATTATATGTTCATGTCAATTTAGTCGTCGATATTAATTGTTTTTTTTTTCCCGGGAGGTGGGGGGTTTCATGAACTATATTTCAACTTCTATATTATAGTAAAAAAAATATTACATTTCATAACCCTTATATTTTCTTAAAACGTAGTTAAAATATGTGGTACTTTTGTATGTTCATGCTGTGGCACGTTCACGTATAATATTACGTACAATTATATCAAATTTCATTTTAATTTACATTGTAGTGAATACCTCCTACAACACATGTTATAAATATAAATATAAATTTTGTTCATCCCATCATTAGCAACTGTGTTCTTGTGAAAAACTGAGCGATTTTGAAAAACCAAAACAATGTTGATTAAGTTTTTCGTTTTAACAGCTGTATTTTCTCTCGTCTATTCTGCAGGGATTAAACTTCACTTAACAGGTCAATTATATATTTTATGTTTGTTTTTTTTATTTATTGAGAGAACTTAATTGATATGAATACATAATAATATGTTTTTTATTTACTTTCACGTAGACATCCAGCAAGTTTAAAATACCCATTGCCGAAATAATGCTTGAATACATGGTTATTACCAGTTTCATCCGTTTCCACTGATTATGTGGTATAAGAGGTTCTCAACAAGAATAGATAAATTTTGTACTTGCTACCTGTTGAACTACTTACTTTTGGATAATCGCAGTTAGGTGGCATTTTTGTACACTGGCAACAGACTATTGAAAAACTTAATTACCATTAAATAGCAAAAAAAAAGACGCTATTATTACGATAAACAATATATAAGAGGTAAACTAAAACATACTGTGTAATTTAAAGATTTTATTCCTGCTGATGATCGCATTTTGTCAAGAAATCACCGAAAAAGCATTAATATTTTTATTTGTATTATATTTTGTGTGTGTAGATGAAATGAAAGCTATGCTGAGGAAATCAAAATGGGATCACAAGAATACGGCTATCTCTATACACGGACCCATCAATCTAGATCTGAAGTGAAGTTATGAACTAAAGGATGGAGAGGTGTTTCTGAAATCAAGTAAGATTCCCTTTAAAACCCAAGCAAAAAAGGAATAGGCCAAATGCTTTATACGTCATGTAAGACTCAAAGAAAAATACTGTTATAATAGAATGGAATGATTGATTGATTGTATGTTATTTTACGTCCCGTTTGAGAATTTTTCACTCATATAGAGACGTCACCATATGCCGGTGAAGGGCTTCAAATTTATACCTTTACTCGGCACTCAGGACCATTGAGCAGTGAGGGTTCTTTATCGTGCTAACGCCTACCGTGACACAGGGCCTCGGTTTTTAAGATCTCATCCGAAAGACCCACAACTTTCACTCCAAAGTGCCGAGCGCTTGGCGAAGGAACAGTTGCTACCTATTTTTCATCGATTTATGTCTGTCGCGGCCGTGATTCTACCTTCCGATCAGTCCAGAGCTCAAGATAAGGTGCGTATTTGCAGAAATACGCATTGAATTTTACAAAATACGCATTGAAAATTAAAACTGGGCATACAGTTACGCATTAGCGATCATAAATAAGCATTACACTACGAAAATACTGCCTACGACGGATTGAATAATACAAATACGATTTAGCTAATGATATGAATTGAGGTTAGCTCAGTGTTTGATTTTTTTTCCAAAATGAAATAATAATTTAAAGGCGTTTCAATAACCAGGACTATTCTAGTTGTGGCGACGACGATTTCCAGTTTGGGAGAAAGAATGATTAAAATCGATTTCTTTATACAGAAAGACTACGTCCTAGGCATAGTTACTTTTAAGCACACAAAGGCTAGAAAACAATGTTAGAAAACAATGGATAATTGGAGAAAAAAAGTCCTAACCGGAGAAAAAAGATTATACTGCAATCTTATCAAAGAGTACATGATGTGTAAAAAAGCAGTGAAGACCATATTAAAACCATATCGAAAAAAACGAGCTCCGTTTAAATTCAAGACCAATTAAATAAACTGCTGTAGAGAGATATCACGCGTAATATGTTATGCATTAGAATTTAATGATCAAGAGTTCTCATATTCTCTAGAGGTCTCTATGGTTCTCTGTTTAGTAGGACGGTTACACAAGGTTTGTACTTAACGTTTTTTATGATGGCTTCATTGATAATTTCTGATTTCTCTCGTAATTTTTTTTTCTCGGTTTACTCTTGACTTGCTACGATATCATCTTAAATGGAGAAAAAATTTTATGTGTCTATGGTTACTTTACCTACTGTATGATCTTCCTTGTCAAAAAAAAATGTTTCTCAGATTTAGCAAAAATCTTGTTGGCATTTCAAAAATTTTATTTAAATAAATCCAGGAACTGTTGTAGTTTTTTCTTTCCTCGTTTAAATACCTTTATTTCGATAACAAGCTCAAAATTACAATAGATGTCAAAACATTAATATATTAACAAAATACTCTTAAATCATTTGGCTGAATATCAAAATCTGCATTGATTTGAAAATCAGGGAGTAAATACACTTTGGGCTAAAAAATTACCTGGAGCTCTGGATCACGGAGCGAGCGCCCTACCGACTGAGCTATCGTGACGGTTAGAATGGAGTGAATTACACCATGGAAGAGTCAGACACTGTTTTAATAGAAATAAATGTATTTGTATTTATTTTCAGTATCAACGTAAACGACAAATTCTAGCAATTTAAAAGAAGAACCCATTTCCCCCATTTTTGCCCAATTGAACCCAAAGCTCAAGTTAGCTTCTCTGATCGAACGGTGTCCGGCGTTCGTCTGTTCTGTGCTATCTGTCGTCTGTAAATTAAATTCTTCACAGTTTCGACTTCTTCTAAAGAAACATTTGGTCAATGTCAACGAAACTTTTTTTCTCGAATTTTTGACTTCTTCTAAAGAAACATTTGGTCAATGTCAACGAAACTTTTTTTCTCGAATTTTCGACTCCTAAAGAAATATTGGGTCAATGTCAACGAAACTTGCCACAAAGCATCTGTGGGTAAAGGGGATTCAAGTTGTTCAAATGAAAATTCACGCCCTCTTTCAAGGGAAGATATTTAAGAATTATTGAAATTTTAATGGCATCTTTCAAAATTCTCTTCTAGGAAAAGATAAAATTTATGTGAAAGCTTCATTACATACTGTAGATTCAAGTTTGTTCAAATCATGACGGGGGGGGGGGGGGGGGGGGGTCGGTAGGGCCGCAATGGACGATCGAAGTTTACCATTGAATTTATTAGTAAAAATCTTTATATATTTTTTTTTTCCCAAGAACGAATAAGCCATTAATTTTGAAGCATCCTCAGGTAGTTTAGATTCAAGTTTATTCAAATCATGACCTCAGGGGTAGGGTGCAGCGGCTGCAGCCACAATTGATGATCAAAGCTATACACTGAATATATTTCATTTTTTTTATTTCTTAATATCAGATTTTCATTCATATTTATATAGAAGTATAATCAGGCAGTGTAGAGTCAAATTTATACAAATCATGAATCTGGGCAGGTATGGGACCAAATTACATGTAGGTGATTAAAATTTTTAAAAAATCTTACGATGATATCGAAGCATTCTTAGGTAGTGTGGATTCAAAATTGTTATTTGTACTTGTTCAAATCAGTAGGATGGGGCCAGAATGAGCGAAGTAAGTTTAATACAGGGATAAAAAGAGAAAAATCTTTAAAATTTTAATCTCGAGAACAGCAAAGGCATAATTAGTCATAATTATAAGGAAGTATCCTCGGATAGTGTAGGTCATGGTGGCAAGTGGTAGGGCGTTCGCTTCATGATCGGGAGGCACTGGTTCGATTCTCTTGTCCCCGTCGCTGCGTCAAACCTAAGACGTAAACATAGGTAGTGACTCTTCCTCCGCCAAACGCCCGGCATTTGAAGTGAAAGTCACGGGTTTTTCGGATGATTAAAACTGATGTCCTCTGTCACTGTAAGCGGCCCTGTGTGCCGAGTATAGGACTAAATTTGAAGCCCTTCACTGGAATACACAGAAAAATCTGTTAATGTAGAACAACAAAGCCATAGAGACTATGGTGAGCGTTATGGCTCATGGACCTCTTGTTCTTCAAAACCCCATTTAAATGATTATTTTCTTATTTTCCAGACGTCAAAGAGAAGCACAAGGACTGTGCTGATATCCTCAAACACAGACCCATGAGTAAAGATGGTGTATACACGATTTATCCTGACATGAACACAAATAAATCGGTGTTCTGTGACATGACAACTGACGGAGGCGGATGGCCGGTAAGTTTGACAACTGATATTGAAATATAATTATGCGTTGAACACTCTCTCCTTCTCTTTCTTTCAATGGAATACTTTACAGAGTTCATACCGTTTCAAAAGTATGTTCTTTATTCTGAAAGTAAATCTTTATACATATGTGCAAGTTACATACATTAGTAAGGTCATCGTTAATCTACTAAAAATTAAGTGTATATTAGATCCAGAAATGATTTCAGGTTATACAAAGACGACAAGATGGCGTGACTGACTTCTACAGAAACTGGGCCGAGTACAAGAATGGATTTGGTGACGCCGAGGATGAATATTGGCTGGGTAAGATCTACATTTGCAAAATATTAATATTTATTTTCATTTTCTGTGTAATAAATAAAACAAAAAAGACTTTTATGATTAGGAAATGATGCTATTCACACACTGACAAAAGACAAAAAGCAAGAACTAAGGATAGATCTGGAGAGATTCTCTAGACAAAAAGCACATGCAACCTACTCCATATTCTATATCGGTAACGAGGCTGACCAGTATAAACTAACAGTAGGGGGATTCAAGGGTACCAAAGGTCTTGGTAAGCTCAATTATCATATAATATGTCGACGGTGCGACCGTTGGGGCGAGCGCATTGTTCACTTCATTCGTTAAGATCCGCCTCTTCAAACCGCACGAGAGATTTGGAACGTCTAGACTGTGACGTCACATGACATCGTATGTTAGCTGCATTTCCATAAACAGTTTAAAAAGTGCAATGATTTTAACAAAGAACGTTTAATCTACTATCTGTATGCAATATCCATTAAATTAAGGTGAGTTTATTTTGTCTGAAATTTTAGTTGTTGTTACCGCGCGAACGAAGTTAGCAACGAGAACAAGAAGCGATGCATTGTGGGTCCAGAATTACTGCGGAAAAAAATTCTATTGAATGAATGTGCAGTAGTCCGAATTTTCTCTTCGCCCAGGCGTTGTCGTTAGAGCTCGCAGTGACGAGCGGCGCTTTGCGCCGCTCGCTGCGCTCGCTATTAAACACATTTACATACTGTATATCGGATATTTTTGCCTCCGTTTTACTTTCGCCTTAATCACAGGTGGGCGAATTTAAAACGGAGCGAATTCAAAGTACACAGTGTTATTTCTTAAACAGAACGGCGACTGGGAGAATTTAAAACGGGGCTAAATTGTTTGCAAGTGCGAAAGGGCGAAAATAACACGGGGCGACAATAACCCTGTGTACAGCAAGATATGATTAATCATTCCTTAGATTCCTTCTAGTTAAATTCTAGTTAATCTGAAATTCTAGTTAATTAATACATGTATATCCTTATGCAATATTACTGAAGGGTGTACTGTTGAAGTCTGGTAGCCCTCTGTTAAGCTAAGATGAGGAAATAGAGTTGCATCCACTGAACCTTTACTCCTTCTTTTCTTAGGAAAATCGATTGCTTTTGATCAATTATACATGTAAGCACTATCAACTTGTAATATCCAGCTTCAGAAGTGTCAACTATTTTATGGCCTAACCAAATATGTAAAGACCGCATCAATTAAACAATAGTTTGTGTACTTCCACATCCTTTGATATGCATAATTAATTTATACAGATACACATATAAATAGTAAAATCTCTTATTTTGTTTCTTTTAACGAGGATTAACAGATGAAATTTTTATGAAAAACTGCGTAACAAGCTAAAAATATGCGGGTCGTGTATTTTTCTACGATGTTGCAACCGTTCATCAGTATTAAACAAGGAAAGAAAGCATTTATGGCTTGAATAAATCCTAGACAATCTGGCACTTTCTGTACATATGTGTTTCAATGAAATAAATGAAAAGCTGGAATTGAATTGTAAGTACTATTTATATACTTAAAAAAGGCGGGCTTCATATTTTAGCGGCTTTGGCGCGAACTATACTGTGCGCTACTTCATGAATACCTTTCATAAATCATTTATAAATACATAACACAGCGCGGATATGTGTAGCGCTAATTCATGATTACGCCAACCATTCAATATCGAGTGATTACGCTAAATTTTGACTACGGCAATTTATGTACATGTACAGTATTTCAGTTTTGAAAGTTCAAGGGGATATGGCCTAATACTTTTCACCGTTTTATATTTTTAAAACGCGCAATCCCTCTTCATGAAATATGCCTGGTAGAAAAGTATGCTTATACCTTAATGAAATATCTCTATTAAGTAAATGACATGTAAGAAATTTTCATAGATGAAATGTTAACTGGACAACTGCATGTATTGCTATTTACTTATATAATATATGATATTATAAGATGTTCTTGTTGGAGATAGAGAACAATTTCTGCACACAGGAAGTACTAGTAATCTAAGGATAAGTCACGTGTGTACTTACAGGTGATAGTTTTGGATACGAAAACGGCATGAAGTTCAGTACCAAGGACAAAGACAATGACACACACTCCAAAGTATCATGTGCTCAATACTATACAACAGCAGGGTGGCTTTTTAATTGTCTTAGTTCAAATCTTAATGGCGTATACAGAAAAGACTCCAAGAAAGATGGCAAAGAACTGAGTTGGTATGAATGGGGAAAGACATGGAGATCGTTGAAGTCGGCAAAAATGATGATACGCCCCAAAAAACTATAATAAATTTTTAAAAAGTATTCGTGTACATGTATAACATTGAATAAAACCAATGACAACAATACTCACACCTCTTCTGTTTGGTAATACAGTATTAATAATTAAATTTTGTGTGTGTGTGTGTGTGTAATTAAAACATTTCAGCCAGTCAAAATGAAAGAAAAGGAAGTCAAAACGGTTATATAAGATTTACAATTTATCCTTTAAATTTTCTACAGTTGATTTTTTTTTATTCAAATACCCTTTATAACTCAACTAATCCAGGCTATGCGGTAAGACCTGGTCACTAAGTAAATGAAATCTCACATAGCAATCTCAAAATTACAGGAAAAGGTAAAATAAGTTAAATGCCGTATACATGAAACTTGAAGTTTTATCTAATTTAAATTATCAGCGATGTCTATTTGTCACTAAAAATTGAAAACGTGCATCTATATTTTATAAGAATCATTGTTAAAACAGTTTTGAGTCTTGGTATGCGCCCAGATTTGTTTGTAAAATCATAATTTCCTGTAACTTGAAAATTTAGAGTTGACATCCAAACCTGTTGCGGTAAAAGATTATAGATTTACAAGGTAGAACGGTATATACCAGTGAATGGAATTTTTAACAAGAGACCGATGGTTCACAACGCTCACCTGAGTCACTTTGGCACTGTTGATCTTGATCAACTTTTTTTTTAAAATGATTTGCCTCCTTAATTAAAAAGAATGACTCCATACTGTGAACCAAAGTGAAGTCCTATGACAACTACAGTGTACATGCATGCATGGTTTATTCAAAGTTGAATCCACATAATAATCGAATGTTTCAATATCAATAAAATATCAGCATGGTTCCGGAGATATTCCCCTGTACTCACACATTATGTAAAATTTGAATCTCTGGTTTCGAACAACCCTAACCCCTGAGCTCAAAATTAAAAAAAGACATAATTCCACACAACTTACATGTAGGTATGTTTTGCTTTTTAATATGATGTAGTGTGGTCTTGTCACTCTTGAAAGGATTTTTCCTAAGTATTCCCTTAGAAAACTCTAATCCCCTATGTATAGCCTCAACCTTTTCCTAAGGGTTCTAATTCGAATACACTTTAATCTTAACTTTATATAACTGAGGACACTTGCATATCAATATGAATAATAAAATCTCTTTTATTTCTTAAAAGTATTTGAATTTTCCCCCATATATTTGTATGTAATTTTTTTTTATATCTCTTTTGCCCCCCCCCCCCGCACCCTTCCCCCAACTACCCCCAAAGGGTCATTAATTGAACGCATTTGAATCTACATTGCCATAGGATGTTTCCACATTAATATGACTAATGATGGTTTTGTTGTTCTTGAGAGGAAGACTTTTAAAGATTTTGTCCTACATATTCCTGTGTAAAAATTGATTACCTAATGTGATCCCTGTGGGTTATGATTTGAATAAACTTAAATCAACACTAAATGTACCTTTAGGTCTTAGGTGACCGCATTCTTACTCTAAATGTGAACTATCAATTTAACATTTTAGCCTTTTAGAGTTTCAATTTCGGTATATCATGCGCACCACATTTGCCAAAAAAATCAGTTTGATGATTGTGCGTAGTACTTGGCAGAAGCAGAAGCAAATGATACTTAAATATTAATCTGACTAACCATGTCTTTGATGTTCTTGAGAAAAATTAAGATTTTAAAAGGTTTTTTTCACAATGTATTCCAATGTAAAACGTTTGCCTACCCCCCCCCCCCCCCAACACCGGAGGGGGAGGGGGGGGGGGCGGCATTATTTGAATACACTTTAATTTACACTACCTTCTTATCATAAACGATCGAATTAATTATCGCTATTTAATAACTACGAAACAATAAACCGTAAAACGTTGTATTCTCTCAAACATAGTGTAACTAAATAACAAAATAGATACTGATATGAAACGAATAAAAACTAAAGATAATTATACATGTATGACAGAACTTGAAGAAGACATAATTTTTAGCCCAATTAATTTTTTTTCTCTTTTATTAAAACATCGCACATAAATAATTCAGTGTACAGAAAATCATAATACATACATTGCATAGAAATTTATAAATCAAAATCACAAATAATTGCCTACTTCTAGAAACAGATTATCATTAATTACATGTGTTTTCCTTAGAATCACGTTTTGTAAACAAAGACAATTTTTTATCTTATTTCGAAAAACTTCTATATACATGTTTTCTTTTTGAAATCTACATTTCATTTTATATTTATAAATGGTAAAACAAATGAATGACAATAGATTATTCAATCTAGTTGTTTTTAAATTGATTTCATTGTAAAAACCCAGTACCAGTATTTTCCATGTGATTTCAAAACCCAAAAACAAACTAATTTTTTTCCAAATATTTTCACAAAGTTTACACCTGTACAGGAGATGTTCAGTGTCTTCAACAACCATACAATATTCACAAAAAGGTTCTACATCTTTGTTCCATTTACTTACATTTAAATTATTGTTCAATATGCAATTCAATAATTTATAATTGAATTCAGCAACATTTTTTTCATACATATACTTAATTTTAGCTAGATATACATTTTTCCAGACATATTTGTAACTAAGATCAAACGTCTTTTGGCACATATTTTCATAAACTGATCGTTGAAACTTTATGTTTACCAAAATTGAATAATAAAAATCACATTTAAGGTTTGCTACAGTTCTTACACTATTATCTCTAAATAAAAAATGACACTTCGTTTTTAATATTAATAAATTTTGCATATGTACAGTCAAAATTGTTTTTGTATTCTCTGAGTGCCTTTTTTATCATGATATATTCACAGAGTATATTGTTTTTCTTTTCCAGTATATTATAAAAGTGTTCAATACTAAGGAAGTTTCCATCATTATCAAAAAGATCTTTGATATATAGAATATCACTTTTTATCCCGTTTTCAAAACAAAGAGGTTTAGAATCATACTGAAACAGATTATTGTTCCAAATGAATTCCGATAAAAATTGGTCTCTCTTTAAAGCACAAATTTGTTTAACTTTTTTACATTTATTGAAAGCAGAAAGGACTTCACCATAAAAAAGTGGTATTCTTAGCATCTTAAAAAAAGCAGTATTTTCAAAGTTACATACACTTGTTTTAACAATATCATTAACTGATAGGTTTTTAAGATTAAGAATATTATTCAACATTTTATATATTATACTTCTTTTATCTAGTATTCGTTTTATCCAAGAAGCCTTCGCTGCAGTATTTACTCTCTATATCAACAATACCTATTCCACCTTGGTTAACTTTACCAATTAGCGTATTTCTCTTTATCCTATCTTTTTTCTTCCATAAGAAATTAAATACAAGTTTTGATACATTTTTAAAGAATTCATTTTTTGGATTTGACAAAATAAAAGCATTATATACCAATTTAGATAATGCTAGTGTATTTATTATAGTGCATTTTCCGAAGATCGTTAAGTTTCGCCTTCTCCAAACACTCAGTATTCTTTCAAGTTTCTCTAACTTATTTGTCCAATTCATATCATAACAGATATCCTTATCATGACCGAGATATACACCTAATGATTTTACATGACTTTTAGCAATTCTAACACCACAAATATATTTTTCATTTAAATACATTTCAATAAATTTTCCTGTCAATAAACATTCTGTTTTGTCCATATTGAATATGGACAAAGCCCAATTAAATTTTGAAATCATAGTATTTTAAAAATATATTATCGAATGAAAGCTTTAATGAGAAACAGTGATAAAAAAGAGAAAGTAATAACATTGAATAGAAGAAGATAATTAAAAATAGTCTAATTGAAAATAGTAGCATGAATTAATTGGGTGGTAAAAACGATGTGGAGGAAAAGTCTTGCATGGTATTATTAAGGAGGGATTCTTCTCATAAGAACACTTATTTCTTATATTTAAAAATCAATGAAATTTTCACAGAATCAAGAAGACAATATCTCTAAGTGATGGTATCAGTTAGATTAAATTTGACCGTTTTATATTAGAGGCAAGGTCAGTACCTTTTCCCTGGACATTAAGAATAAAAAAATACTGTTGCCAATCATGCGATGCTTACTTCCATTTCAATAAATTAAATGTTTTTCTTTTTGCATAAAGAGATATTACCATAAAGGGTCTATAAGATGATATTACCAAATTGACATAAATAATTTAACTAGAATGGATATTGGCTAATCCGAATTTTCTCTATTTTTTTAAATTTTAAGATATTTTAGTTATTTTTATATGCTTCCTATATTTAATTTTTTCTTATTTTCACATATGGTAAAGTTGTCACATAAAGATACAAAATGATATAAAAACAAAAAGTTTTGACCGTTAACTAAGAGAGAGAAAACACTTTTTACGGATTTTTAGCTCAAATCTGAACTTAGATTGGAAGCTTTTAAAAGCTAACATAATTGTAGTTTGTTTGGAAAATCATATTTATTTGCTATATTTTAAAACTTTAGTCCCTTATTATTAATTTAACTTACATTTACAAATTTTTTCCAAGTCTTTGATTGTGAAAAATTATAACTAAATTCATTGTTCTATAATCATTTTGAAAGGCAGAAAGGAAGATATTATCATATAGTCCCTGTTGGATTTCAAACTCAGTTTACCATTTCTATTTAAAGTTTTACAATTGTGATGAGGAAAGAAAAATATGATCTTTTAAATCTCTTACATCAAAGTATATAAAACATATAAGCAAATATACTTTGAATATTTCATCTAGTCAGAAACCAGACAAGAATCCCTCCTTAACGAGGTTCGCTCCTGAGCTTTTGAGCAGATTTTTATCTTAACCTATATTTCGAAAATTCTGCATAGTGTTTTAATTCTTACAATAAATTTGGATTCTTCAATGCCAGTTTAACTATTTTCAGCTAAAACTCCATGATTAAATTCCATATCAAAGGCATTAAGTGAGGAACTATATTTTGTGGCGGAAGGTTTTTTTTTTTAGAAGAAAATGATCATTTTTTTTCCTCTTTCGAAGTATTTAAAGTATGTTAAGTTTGGATTCCTATTTTTACATGCAGTCTGCACACAGAGTTATTTTGTGCGGTGAACTGTTTTATATACTGGTCTTAAATTATCTATAAAATAATCTGTCATGAACTCCATCATCATATTTAATGAATATAGCAAATATATTGTGAAAATCAAGAAAAAATAGCCTTAATTTAAGCTTAGAATTAGCACTATTTTAGTGATATCTAAAAATTAACATCACAGACCCCCACTTTTAATTTTCTTTTCTGAAAATATAAGATACATTTAACCATTCTTCTTAAATTCAGTAAAATGTCATTACTTTCAAATGATTTTTTTTCTTGTTAAATTTTTAATGCCAGAAAAATGAAAATTTCTGAGTGCAAAAAGGTCAAATAATTGAACATGCGGAGTAATTTGAAAATTTTTTCGTTGTCACAAATTTTAATGTGTCTATTTAAGATGAAATAAGACTGTATTTGTCCCCATAATTTATTTGAATAAAACTATTGGAGGAAAAAAGGAAAAACTTAAAAAAATTATTCATGTGTAAGACGTATTAGCAGTACACAAAGGTCAAACTAAATGCTCTGTAGCGCCAAAAGAAGCGCATAGATCCCCATTTTGCTTTGATTTTAAAATAAGCTATGTGTATAAATTTTCAAAATATACTTGATAAAAAATTCTCATTACTTTTGATGGCAGGATCCAACCTCCTTAAATATTTTCCCCTAATTCAAGTCCATCCTCGTGAAGTCATTCAGTTAGTTAATACCATTATTATCGTGGAATACATTAAGCGTGTGCATCCTGAATTTTTCTTTACTTTTTCTCTCAGCATCGGCCAATTTCGTGTTATTGTCAATAACCATTCCTGTCATGTCCTTCTATTTGTGACCGTCGACGTTTAAATGTTCCCCAACTGGTTCATTGAGTTTCTTGGTCTTAATGGTAGAGGGGTGATTATTGATTCTCCTGCAGAAATCTCCCGTTTCAGTTTACAATAAAATATGAAGATGACGAACAGAATTCAATCTCGAAAGTCCAATGAAACAATACAAATTTGGCCAGAGCAAACACGGACCTCAAAATTTAGAGGTGGGATCAGGTGCCATGGAGGAGTGAGCATCCCCTGCAGACCGGTCACATTCGCCGTGTGCTCCTTGTTATGATCGGAAAAAAAACGGAAAAATCCGTAGACAGTTCAGTGTATAAATAATTGCCTAATAATTATCATGAAAAACGTCAGTCAGCATTTGACTCAGTAGGTTGTATAGGTTGTATGTGCTGACAAGTCATTGTATTGACCGTAAAATTTGCGAAAGGATGACTTCAAACGAGACTGTTGTTTCATCAACTTGTTTGTCAACAGTTTGCCTCGTTTTAGAAATTGTACCTTGTAATTGATAACCTTCTGACGTCATGTCCTCAGAATAGCACTTCTCAAGTGTAAAGACAAATAATGACACTAGTAGAATAATGACCCGAGGGGGGGGGGTCATTTTTTAACGCAGAAAAATGACCCCGGTCATTATTCGACACAACTTAACACAATTCTTTGCTTGTTTGCGCAGCGACGTGTTGTGTGAAGTTGCGTTAGCGTGACGGCTTGTTGTGCAAAGTTCCGTTAGCGCAACGGTGTGTTGTGAACAACGAGCCAGCGTGTTGTTAATAATGTGAACAACGCGCTGGCGCATTGTTTCTAACGCCCTGCTGCACTTTTGCAGGTGACAACGCGCTAGTGCAAAGTAACAATGCGCCGGCTCGTTTTGTATAACGTGACAGCGTGTTGTCACTTCGTGCTGGCGTTTTGTCACTTCATGCTAGCGCGTTTTACTTACGCGCTGTTACACTTTTGCAAATGACTCTATCGGGACACCATATTCTTATATGATAAACATTAACATATACTCATATACTTTTCTAAGGAAGAATTTTTTCAAAATGTTATGTCAGCTTTAAATATTTTTAATGCTCCCAACAACAAATTGAATTTGAATTACCATTACTATACTAGATTCCTAAACTTTACACAGATTCTTACAAACAGATACTTGGCGCGTTCTAGTAAATCGTCTGCCGAGACATTTTCTTAAGTCTTCACGAATAGTTTACAACAGTGAAGGAGAAACTTCCGGAGTACTGTACACCATGTTTGAGAAGTTGTGTTCATCAGATTTGGATACTTATTATCTTCAAAGACTCTTTTTGAAATTTTGAAATCACGAAATTTTACCAAATCAATACATGTAGCATCAAATCGTGCAACTTTCCAACAATTCATACAACCAATCCCCTACATAAATTCAAAGACCAGGGGTCAGTTTTATGAAAGAACTTACAACTATGACCAAAAACTTAAGTTGATTTAAAATCTTGCAAAATTAATGTTTCTTTTTTTTTAAAGAAAATGCTGGCATAAACATAAAAATATCGCTCTAAATTCTTTTCAAATAAATGTAAAAAAAAAAAAAAAAAAAAAAAAAATCCAAAAAATGAATTTTACTCGTAAGTTCTTTTGTAAAGCGGGATCCTAACTTTTTGACATAATGAACAACTGCTTCTTCGATAAAAATGGAACTTGTAAATTGTCACACAGAATTATTAACAGATTTTTCCGTTCACTCGATCCTGACAAGGCCCTAAATATTGGTGTGACCGTTCGAAAGGGGATGCTTACTCTTCCTTGGCACCTGATCCCATTTTTGTTTTCAGAGGTCCGTGTTGGCTTTTATCGTAATTTGTAATGCTTAAATAGACTTTTGAGAATGGTCATTGTTCGTTATCTTTTCATTTCATTTCGAATGGTTAGATTCATATCCAACATTGCTAGACAATTGCTCAACATTAAAAATATGCTATAGCAGAAATTTTTATCATGAAGTTGTTAATTAAAAAGAAAACAAAATAGATTCTCTGATGCCCATATAATACTGCATGCTTAAATTGTAATTGAAAATTAGATAGTATTAATAGAAAGATAAGAAAATGGATTTACATCATGAATATGAAATGAGATTACATAATAAAATGAAGTTAGGCATTTGTTGATTTTTATAAAAGGTAAAATTGTATTCATATACATAGCATTAATCTTAGAAGGAGATACTATAGACATCAACGAAAAATAGGTATTAATCTCATTAAATCTTTTAGTACGTTTGAATCTTGCTTCTGAAGTCAATATTGAATTTATATATAAGCCAGAAGTTATTCCTTTAATGACAGTTTATCTTGCAACAGAATTATGTTGAATACAGACGAACAGCTCGACGTACTAAGATGCTAAAGCTAATGAGTCACCTTTTTATATCAACTGCCTTCAAATAATGTTCTCTTCGCCTTCATCAATCTGCAGGATATTTGCACAAGAGGCCCATAGGCCATAAGTCTCACATGAGTCACTAAATGATAGATTGTATTTGCTGATAAGGTCATTATATCGACCATAGAACTTGCAAAATTATGACTGTAAACGAGACTGTTGAAATTCTTGATCATCAACTTGTTTGTCAGTAATATACCTCGTTTTAGAACTTGTTCATACGTAGAGCATGCTCTTGCGTATCGAATCAACTGAGAGATATACAACCCATATGCAGGTGATAATGGTATATTACTTCATAAGTAAGGGAAGTTGACGATTGAAAAGTTAAAGTCATCACGTTTACCATAAAGCTTGCTTTGTTGTTAGATTACCATCAACGTCTCTCTCTAGTAAAATATCACAATATGAAACATATGCACTACCCGAGGATGCTGGCATATTAATTTGACTAATCGCGAAGGAAGTATTTTTAAGAAGATTGTTCGCAATATTTTAGGATGTAAAACGCCTATCCCATTCATGTTGTTGCCAACCCTACACCCCGGGGACATGAACAAAACCATTAAGATTGTAATCACATAAGATTTGATTTTTTTTCCTGGCCAAGTGGTTCTTGAGATGATTTTTCATAGGGATGTCAACGATCAATATATATAAAGAGGGGATACCATGATTTTGAATAAGCCGTTAAACGATCGGATCTAGAAATCCATAATATACTACCCAAGTAAAATCTGTGAAGAATGTATAATGTACATATCAAAACTAAACTCATTGATCATTTAATTATTATTATGTGTTTAACAGTATCAGCTTGTATTGTTGTAAAGGGCTCAATATGACTTACTTAATTATCTCATTTCATGCGTTTTCCTGATTAAAAAAATTATTATTAGGAAATAAGTTAATTGATAAACACCTCTTTGGAGGTGTTTGTTTTGTATTTTCAAAACATTTTATTAAAGATTTTATCTTATCAGGCAGATAGCTTTTAAATATTTTATTACGGACTGCATTCAACAATCGTCCACTTGGTAAGATTATCGATTCATCATTTGGAGTATTTTTCAATTATGTTTTGGTTGTATGCAATTAACATCGATAAACATGTACTTATTTCAAACAATGACACATATTAAATGTAAAATTCCTGTACAAAACCTTCAAAATTCTTATTGAATATTACAATATGGATTAATGACAGATTTCACGTCCCTAATTACTTAATTATCTAACACTCGGAAGGGGACAAATCTTTTCACCAAAGCAAGTTTAACTGAAATCTGTTTACTGCTTCTGGGGAAGAATTCATAAGTGTTAAAAGTTAACGGGCGACCGATGACAAAAATAATGAACAAATGTGATAAGAAAAATTCAATTGGCTTTGGCTAAGAAAGATGGAGATTTGGAATTGAAGTATTTTTTTTTTCTTTTTTTTTTTTTTTTTGGAAAGATCATATTTGATTTTAGAGATCGATTTTGTAATTGATATTGTTCTTTTGTGTAGGTATGATAATGGACAACTCCATAGATCAGTCTAGAACATACACCCAAAACGACTCATTTTTGCATTATTTATTAAACGTAATATACGTCTAAGCTATAGATTTTTTTTATCTTCAATTGCACAGTATGTTTATTTATTGTTGTCTCTGTGTAAAACCAAGACAGTTCTTTTGTTAAAGTGAGGTTTAAAGGAGCATAAATTGTATCCAGTAATTTTCTGGACAACGATGAATTATAATGTCGATAACATAAACGGAGTTATCTCAGGGGAGGTTATAATCTCAAATAACTGACAAATAAAGTAAGGTTTCAAGTAATAATTTTTAATGTATTCAAGATTTGATTTTTAAAGACTTCTTCACGTATTTTTGCACCATTGGTTCCCTTTCACCAATAAAAAAAAAATCCTTTCGCTTTTGAACGTATGTTAATAAGAAACCTTTCAAGATTACATATAATTATGATTTTTAGACATCTTCAATTTTGTCTTCATCACAAAAGAAACGTTTAAAAGCAATTTTATCAAACAGTGTTTATAGTAATGCTTATAATTATAGGAACAAATTCTTCAAAATCTGTTTAATATAATTTTGCATATTTATGACAGATAGATCTATACAATAGAATACTAGATACAGAAGTATATTTCATGTTTCTTGGTTATGAAAAGCAAGGAAAAATGTCTACAAATTAATCAATAAAAGTTTAATAATATGTTCTCAATTTCTGGGTCTGATTTTTATCCGATCACGTTTCCGATGTTAAGTTGTTGCTTTGTACTTGTCTTTGTGGTTGGTTGCTGCCTTGTACTTGTCTTTGTGGTTGGTTGTTGCCTTGTACTTGACTTTGTGGTTGGTTGCTGCCTTGTACTTGTCTTTGTGGTTGGTTGTTGCCTTGTACTTGTCTTTGTGGTTGGTTGCTGCCTTGTACTTGTCTTTGTGGTTGGTTGCTGCTTTGTACTTGTCTTTGTGGTTGGTTGTTGCCTTGTACTTGTCTTAGTGGTTGGTTGTTGCCTTGTACTTGTCTTTGTGGTTGGTTGCTGCCTTGTACTTGTCTTTGTGGTTGGTTGCTGCCTTGTACTTGTCTTTGTGGTTGGTTGTTGCCTTGTACTTGTCTTTGTGGTTGGTTGTTGCCTTGTACTTGTCTTTGTGGTTGGTTGCTGCCTTGCACTTGTCTTTGCGGTGGTTGCAGTGGAATGCTGCACGAGCAAAGTCTGTTGGACAGTAGCTGCAAGTAGGAATGTACAAGATACATGTATCTCTAATAGAATTAAATTGCATGTTTATATATACTTAAGAAATATCAATGTTATGCAATCACGCCACAAACAGCTGACAGACACTTCGGAAGTTCGGTAGACACAAGTCCATCATCGAGAGCGTTGTCTTAACAATGTAAGCTGTCACCAGTGTCTCCTGTCAACATCATAATAAATATGCTTTACTAATATTTTATATAATTTTAGATTTTATGTTTCAGATCAAATTTTATACTTGATTTCAAGTTAACAGGTCCGGACATGTGTCTCCATCCATCCCTTTCCGACCGAAATTCCTCAAACTTTTTATCATCAAACATCGGACATGTTTCTTGGTTTGTTTTTTTTTTTTTTTTTTTGTTTTTTGTTTTTTTTTTGAACATCGAATATGGGTTCTTCATGAATACAAAAATTCCCAGACACCAATATGTTCACTATAATTGATCACAAGTAGCCTTTCACAGAATTTTCCTTTCAAAACAGAATCCTTTGCCAGATGAATTTGAAGCGTAACCGCTTCTCAAGCCGATTTACACCTTGCGTAATTTGTCAAAATCTACGACGAACAGATAGGGCAATATTAATATTCGATTATATTCTATTGTCCGCCTCAAATATCTCAAATTTATATATAAGTAATAAATAACAAGTTTAAAAACTTCACTAGGAAATGAAGGCCTTCTCTGAAGATTTGATCACGTACCGACCCACTTCATTTCCCAGATTTTCAAATTTATTGTGAGTAAGTTTAATGAAAAAAAAATAAAGCATTCAGAGGTCTACAAGAAAAATAAGGGTAAACGTTGAGACTATGCAGCTCAGACATGAAACTTATAACACGTAGTTTTCTATTCTGTATGTAAAATCGATCAAGAACTGTATTAGATACTCGTTTACATTGTAAATAAAATGATTATTATTTCACTTGCGTATTTGGTACATTTTTATACACGAAAATGCTATATTGCTAAATAGAATAAGTCTTTTTACGTATAGTTGTTAATGCGCTGTGTGATTAGGTCACGTAATGACCTATGACCTTCGAAAAACCATCATACAGGTATGAATAAATTTGCTCTCTGTATGTTTATATAATAGAGAGATACCATATATATATATATCATTTATGACAGTAAATAGTTTTATGCTGACGAATGACTTCATATTGCAAGTTGTGTTTCATATTTGTTTTATGTTCAACATATATATTTGTTCATATAGTAATTTAGTTGTAATTGTAAGCCCTTACAAGGGCCTCCGCAATTTTTCCCCACTGGGAGCCTCAGGGTCGTTGCGGCAATCTGATTGGTTGAGAGTTAGCGTTGCTTTGTACGATTTGTGAAAGAAAAGTAGAAAGAACTTTGAGCGTTTCAGAGATTTTGCAAATCTCCTCAACTTTTGGAGCCTTTGGACCTCACCTGCCACTTACAATGATTTTTCTAGTCATGTCTGTTTCCATACAAATATTTTGGAATATTGTAATTTTGATGTATTATACCACTTATTGTGTTTGCAATTGGTTATAGTTACCAAACTTCTAATATACATGTTTGTAAGTTTAGACTTGTACATTTTGCTAATGCATGTAATTTTTACTTGGTCTCAACCGGTGTTTGCTTGTCAAATTTTGGTTTTTGTATATACTACCTTGAAATCTATCAAGCCTTAATAAACAACGATTTCAACACATACATGTGTTAAGTTATAGTTTTCTTGGTTACTGTTCATTTAATTTTTGCTGGAAAGAGGAAGGAGATATATATATATATATATATATATATATATATATATATATATATATATATATATATATATATATATATATATATATATAAAACCACACTGCAGCCTTTGGATATTTGAAGTCTCAAAGGTATTCACACAATGAATTCAATATCAAGAAATATTTAATGTCATAATTTTTGTCAGTGATAATATGTAATACGCAAAACTTCTTTGTATCTTTTTGATAATTATGTTCGCAGGATCTCTCTAGAGACGTGATATAGCTGAACTGGTTAGTACAGTAGCATATTCGTAAATATATTACAAAGCTTTTAAAATTTATGTTTAATTTCAACATTTCGCAATCCTGTTATAATTGTTATAATGACCCTATTTGCAACTACATGTACAAACTAGATGCTGTGATGAGACAGTATTACCCGCACTAAGGTGCTTGCCTCTAAATGCACACCCCTTCATATTGGGCTTACCAAGGAAAAAGTCAAAATAATTCTATAATTTACACAGTAAATGTATTCGTCAATTCGAGCATAAAATGCTCAGGTGACCTTTAACCTATGAGCCTCTTATAGGTATTTCCTTTACTTAATTCATTACCAGTCTGAAATAACAGAATTTAATTAATTATATAAATTAGGTTTTGATAAAAGGGGGAATATAAATTTTTGGCCCATAATTGGAACTTTTTAAATTCATTTTCTCAACAACAAATAATATTATTTTAGTACAAAGCGTTTTTGATGAATTTATCAAAATGTGCAATTTTTTTTTTTTTTTTTTTTTGGTATTTGATTAGGCAAAAACCTCCTTGAAAAGCCATACCCAATCAATTTTGTCACCCCCTCTTGTACTGTACATGAATGTGAACACCTTTTTGAAAATTTCTACATCACATTGGGCTTGCGTCACCCAACTAGTACTAGTACTAGTTTTACCATTATCATTTTTACATTGCACATGGTGCAGTGTGGTGTACAGTAGAAATTAATTCATTTTGTGTTTTAATTGGATTATATTTCATGAAGTTGACAGGACCTATGACAGTCGGTAAGTACAAGTTTAAGTATAGATTGGGGTAAAATAACCGAAATGCAAATGGTTAGGATTAAAGTTTAAAAAGGATCAAAGATCATCGGATGCCACAATATACGAATTTCACATTCTGAAGAGTTATCTCCCGTTGTCGACATTACATTCAGTTACAGGCACAGATCCAGGAATTTTTTCCGGAAAAAAAAAACAAACAAACAAACAAAATAAAAACAATGATGGTGGGGTCCATGTTTTTAAAGGGGGGAGGGCGTCCAAAGTCATTTTTTATTTGCTACTGTAAATCAGTATATAGTCCTATTTAAATAACTCTGCAAATTCCAGGGGGGGGTCCAATCTCCCTAGCCTCTCCCTGTCCCTGAAATGACAAATGATCATGTGACTCCAAAATAGTAGAAAACTTTTCCATTTGACTATACATAATTTTGTTGCTTGTGTTATTATGTTATGTACATCTAATGGTCTAAGGTTATGAACCCCTGGAGGTCATTCTCACTCTCTTAATGAACTGGAAATGTTCACAATATGACTACATCAAATTAAATAAAAGTGCATCAATGATAAGATTGCTTGACATTTCATTCATTAATTTGGGTCAACCCATGTACCCTCCTAGAATTAGGAATGAAAATCATTCAAAGAGATGGACTATTTTAAAAACTATTTGTTTACATTCACATTTTTTAATGTCAAGACAAAGTATTAGTTACATGAACAAACAGGGGTCTGGGAAGGGGAAGGGGCGAGGGGAAGGAGTTATGTCTTTACGTCTTAATTGTTGAAAACTCCTAAAATGAATGTTAACCTCAAATCCGACTTGTACTACGTCTTCATTATTTTTAAGTGGTGACAGGAGTCTCCATATAAGTGAAAAATTCCTGAGAGGGACATTAACAACAAACAAACATTAACGACTTAAAAAACACAATACCTATGTACATGTTTATTAGTCAACGGATATACTTCTGGTCATATCTCTAGTTCTCCCTTGAATCAGAAATGAATGATATAAATATTTTAACAATGATTAATATAAGAGTTGAAAAGGTTGTGCATCTTAAAATTGACTAAGCTCTGTGGTTGAATTAGCTACACCAGTTTAGCTTATTTAGCTACTCAAAGCACCTTGATTAACTATTTTTAATCATACTGTTTTCTGAAATGTGCAGTTTTTTTCAACATGGATACAAGTCATACATTTTCAGCTCCTGAAAACAATGCATGAAAAAAACTGCTTTTCAAATACTGTAACTCTTTCCAAGTACTTGTGATTATAAGTTTTTAGCTCACTTGAGTTTTCCTGGTTTTCTGATCACATTTTGTCTGTCATCCATCTGTCCGTCTGTATACTTTTCACATTTTTGTCTTCTTCACTAGAACCACTGGGCCAATTTCAACCAACCTTGCCACAAAGCATCTTCGGGTAAAGGGGATTCAAGTTTGTTCAAATGAAGGGTCACACCCTCTTTCAAGGGGGGATAATCAAGAATTAGTGAAAATTTGGTGGTATCATTTAAAAAAGTCTTATCAAGAACCACTGACTGGGCCCAAAAAGTTGAAACTTTCTTTACATGGACTTAGTGTAGATTCAAATTTGTTCAAATTATGACCCACTGGGGTAGGGTGGGGCCACATATGGGGATCCAAAGATTTACATAGAAAAATGCAGGGGATTTTTTCCATCATAAATCTTCTTCTCAAGAACAGCAAGGGCATTATTGTCATCCGTTTTCGCAAAAGGGACCTAGGGGACATTAAATCTCATTAGTCTGTCAGTCTGTCCGTTTGTCAGTCTGTCACAATAAATTTAACCTTGGTCATAACTTTTGAATAATAAGAGATAGGGCTTTCATATTTCACATGTACATTACCTACAAGAACTTTCTAACCATACTATGATTTTTGAACCCATGATCTTGACCTTGAAGTTTGACCTACTTTTCAAAAAAATTAACATTATTTTAAATTGATCATTTTGAAAAAGAAAAGATAGGGAATTCACATTATACATGTATATTACCTGTGACAAGACCTTTCTAAATATATCATGACTTTTGACTCTATGACATTGACCTTGAAGTTTAACCTACTTTTCAAAAATGTTATATTTCCTTATAACTTTTGATTGAGAAAAGATAGGACTTTCACATTACCTGTAACAATTTAATATGTTTCCGAGCATGCTATGATTTTTTACCCCTTGACCTTGATGTTTTACCTAATTTTCAAAAATCTTAACTTTGGTGATTACTTTTGAATGACATATGATGGGGGTGCATATTTGAAACAATATGTCATAAATAATGGCATCCCATCCACTAGGACACGGAAAGCAGGGGACCACAATTCTTTGAATTTGCTTGTTAGTCATTTTGATATGGAAGCACCCTCATATAGACTAAGTGTTCATTCAAGTTTTTTATGCTCTGCCATGAATATGGCCGAGGCATATAGTGTTTGTCATGTCCGACTTCAATCAAACTTCGTATGCTGATACATACTGATGTAAGCTTTTCAACTGCATCAACCTTTTGGAACTTGACCTTTCCTTTAACCTTGGCCTTACTTTTCTTAAATTAGTGTCTAGATCAGTTTTGAATAAACAATTCAAGATATATTTATCAAACTTCATATGCTGATACATACTGCTGAGAGCTATCAATTGCATCAACTTTTTTGACCTTGACTTTTCCTTTGACCTCACTTTTTTAAATTAGTGTTTATCTACGTTTTAATACGTTTAAATAAACCATTTATGATATTTTTATCAAACTTCATATGCTAATAGTAAATACATACTGATGTAAGCTTTTCAACTGCATCAACATTTTGATCTCAACCTTTCCTTTGACCTTGACCTCTCTTTTCTTAAGTAAGTGTTAAGCTCAGTTTTAAATAAATCATTCAAGATATTTTCATCAAACTTAATATGCTGATATGTATTAATGAAAGCTATTCAACTTCATCAAAAACTTTTCACCTTGCACTTTCCTGTGACCTTGACCTCCCTTCTCTTTAATTTGTATTTTGCTTAGTTTTAAAGAAACAATCGAAGATATTCTTATGTAAGTATGCACTTATACATCATTTGGTGAGAATTTATCATGTATATCCATTTTTTTAGATTTTAGTTTCAATTTTAAAGAAACTGTTCAAGATATTCTCATCAAACTTCATACACTCATACAAATTTTCATGTTGCATTAGTAATATACATTCGGCAGGGCATTTATGTCCTATGGACATATTTCTAGTTTTCAAATCATGACCTCTAAGGATAGGGTCAGGTCGCAATAAGGGATCAAAGTTTTATATAGGAATAAAAGGAAAAAAAATCTTCAAAATTCTTCTTTTCAAGAACAACAAAAGCATGATTAATATGGAAACATTCCCAAGAAGTGTAGATTCAAGTTTGTACAAATCATGACCCCATGGGTTAGGGAGGGGCCATTTTTTTCCTGCCCCTATTTGCCATCTACATGGAAATGCAAATTTTGAAACCATTTTAAACATCCACAGGACAAAACCAATCATCTTCCAAATGATCATGATTTAAGGCTAATGCATAAAACATAAGGGAAGTTCTGGGAACCAGGGTGTTTAAACTTGTTAATTTTTTTTTAAATGACCCCCATTTGACCCCCAGGGTGAAAATAAAAATTCCGAAACCTTACTGCAAATCTACAGGACACCACCAACCATCTCCCAAAAGATGATTAGGCTACTATGTAAAATGTAAGAGGCGTTCTGGGAACCAGGGGCTTTTTGCATTAAAAAAAAAACGTCATTTTTCTACTCCGTTTGACCCCCAGGGTGAAAATGAAAATTGTAAAACCTTACTGCACATCTACATGACACCACCAACCATCTCCTAAAAGATGATTAGGTTACTGTGTAAAATGTAAGAGGAGTTCTGGGAACCAGGTGTTTTTGCATAAAATAATGTCATTTTTCGACCCCCATTTTAACTCTAGGGTGAAAATGAAATTACGAAACCTTACTGCACATCTACAGGACACCACCAACCATCTCCCAAAAGATGATTAGGCTACTGTGTAAAATGTAAGAGGAGTTCAGGGAACCAGGGGCTTTTTGCATAAAAAACGTTATTTTTTTTACCCCCATTTGACCCCTATGTTGAAAATGAAAATTCCGAAACCTTACTGCACATCTACATGACACCACCAACCATCTCCCAAAAGATGATTAGGTTACTGTGTAAAATGTAAGAGGAGTTCAGGGAACCAGGGACTTTTTGCATTAAAAAAAACATCATTTTTCGACCCCCATTTGACCCCTAGGGTGAAAATGAAAATTTCGAAACCCTACTGAACATCTACATGACACCACCAACCATCTCCCAAAAGATGATTAGGCTACTGTGTAAAATGTAAGAGGAGTTTGAGAAAGAAAAGTGTGACAGACGGACGGACGGACAGACATGAGTAACAAAAATATACCCGAACTTTCTTTAGAAAGTGCGAGTATAACTATCTATTTTAACTGACACGTAGTGCGTGATTGATTTGAAATAAGTATGTTATTTTTAAAAAGTCTTGAATGACGTATTATAATTTTCCTTTGTAAACCTTCTTCCAACGTACCATGTACCTCGTACTCAACAGCGTAACATCTAATCTCCGAAGTTCTACAATAAAACGAAAAAAGTTAACGTGAACATTAGTAACTAATAATAAAAGGGTCACTAGTGAATGCCAGAGATTTCTTTCAAAATTCCAAGTCAGAATTCTTTTCAGCAATATAGTAATTTGACAAACCAGTATAAATTATATGTGATTTTTCTTCTGTATCAGTATATCTGGGGACAGAATTAGGATTTAATTAAGACATTTGGTCCAAATTATTGGGAATTAGAAATCATCATTTTGTTTGAAAAATAATCGGATATTGAAATCGTCAACCACTTCGTATTTCCTGTGTAAAAGCATTTTGATTTTCTTGATTTGAAAGGTACACATTCATATTAATTTACCCATCACTCGTTGCCTCGATACAAAGCTCTACTTTTTTCCCTGAATGTGCTCCTAAAGATTTGAGGAGAACATCCACAGAGCAAGCGTTATCGTCAGTAGTGTTGAAAATATGTACCATAATTTCAGTAGTCGGCAGAACTGAGACGTCAGGGCTTTAATTAAAACATATCTTATATCATTTCACAAAGTGCAATATGTATGAAAGAAAAAAAGCTAAGTACCTCTTAATATTGAATCATTAGATGTGACCAAAAAATAAAAAGTATATAAATGCTATATAAAGAATGATATTTGTTGGGAAGAACTATTGCGCCACTAGCGTCAAACAAGTTAACACCACTTTTTATGACGCTAAACTAAGGATTGAAAACTACATGTATCTAGCTTAGATTTGTACAAGCAACATGTAATTAACATTCGTTTAACAACAATTAGCAAAAGAAACAATCAAATTGCAGATGCAAAATATTGATGCGTTTTCTTCCCTTATTTCTTTTAAATTTTCATTTTATTTTGTTTTATTTATTTATTCATTTATTTTATATATGCAACTGTTTATTCCATGCGATTTCTTATACGGACGTATATACTCGCCTATAAGTCGGTCCGCCTATAAGTCGGTTGTATTTTTTAAGCTTATATTAGAGGGATTGACCCTCTAAAATACCAATCTTTTTATAACTCGCCTATAAGTCGGACATAGAGTTTTGGACCAAAATTTAACTCCCAAAAATCCGACTTATAGGCGAGTATATACGGTATTTCACGTGTGGGATGATTTTTTTTCATAATTTAACGAATGCGATAAATTCTATATCCAACCATAAAACATTGAATTCTTTGGGTTTTTTTTTCCTTTTGCCCATATCGCCTATTTAGTGTTTTTCATAACGCTTAGGCGTAGGTTCTTACCATAGCGGTCATCGCATTAACCATTTATTTCATCCAACAAATAAAATAGAGTATTTCACTCTTGAAAATGTAATATAACACTATTTTTTCTATGCTAGTGGATTAAACTACATGTATTTTGTAAGTCATTATTATTGAATTTATTTTATATGTGAATTATTTTAACAATCATTACACACATTTTTCCGATTTCGATCAGCGATCTGTATAAAGATAGATTTCTGATCCTTGTAAATGCAAGCTTACCACCGATTATTGCTGTTTTGCCTCAGGTAAAGTAACATGTGACACTCCAAACCCGGAGAACACGAGAAAGAAGAAGAATTGGTCGGGGATGGCCTTATAAAGATTTGCTGAAATGAAAGGACAATTTTGATAATGAATGATCATTTAGCAACAAAACGCTTATTCAAAATTAGCATAATTATTATTATACATAACAATATTTGACAATATTTTTCCCTAGGTTTTTTTTTTTTTTTGTTTTTGAAAAAAAAAATGAATGCTAACTTCGGGATGACGTTTTAGTTGACAGAAATGGTTTGATATATTAAAAAATAACGTCCTAGATAAAAAAAAATATTCTAAACAGACAAAATAATCATGTGATATCAAAATTTAATATTTCACTATCTGACGACAATGCGCAACAACAAATGTAGATTCATGGTAATGATTCATAGTAATCCAGGGACTATTTTAAATTTTTAATTTTATTTTCTTTCTAAATAGTTTTTTTTTTCTAAGGATGTTAGGAAGAAAATCTGAAATATCTACAAAAGCAAAAGCCTTCCCATACAGATAGCATATTTCAAAAGTATGATCATAGACCTTATATAATTGTAATACCAGCAAAATAAGGACAACACAGGTAAACTGAAACAATAAATAGTTCAAATTTCTCCTCTTTCAATTTCTAATAATATGAGATTAAATATGGTTAAAAGTGTAGTTTAGAAAACTGACAGAGGAAATTCGTTGTAAAATATTTTATAAGTTTATTGCTCAAACTCTATTTTTTTTAATTTTAATTGATTACACTACATATATAATTATTATATTTTGCTTAGAAAGAAAATCTTGGCCATAGTGCGAAATTTTAAGCATGTCAATGGGGATCTTTCGAGAAGTTCTTAGAAGACACTAGTATGAAAGAGGTAATTTACCTTCTTATATGGAAATGAAAAATAGCACCACAATCATACGTCTACAATGTGCAATAGGTTGTTTTTCATTGTCATGACTAAAATTCTTTTGCCATCTGAGAATTCACGCATAGATGCATATCAGTCCATGAAAAAAGAAAGTAGATAATAGAAAAGCTACAGTCAAGAACAATCATGATACCTTTTCTATGTTATGAAGGCCCTTAGATGGAACACCTGAAAGTGAAATGACCAAGTAAAGGCAAAGAAAGAATAATATACATTTTATGTAAATCTACAATAAGACTAAGATACATTGATTACAACTCCTGGGTATGAAAATAATGAAATCACCGCAAAGTTTGCACGATTTACGGCAAAAGACGGCCGTGGTTGGATCTGAGCAAATGTTATTAAGAGCTGGTGGATTATGGCAGTCATCCACACTGACGTCGATGCATATGTCACCTGAGTCAGAATCTAAAATGAAATTGGAACACATCTACTTAGTATTATAATACGGAAAATAGTTAACGATTTCATTCTCTTTTGTTGTAGTTGTTGTTTTTTTTTTAATTTATATTTTTTGACAAACCTGGGGATAGTGATGAAATACTAAAGCAGACTTTGTCTGTTTCATTGCTGCAAAATAAAAATGTTTAAATGAAAAATATATATAAAAAAAAGGAGTAGAACTGTAAATAAAATTGAGTATCTTTTACGCATGGATTCTACCACATCATTGTAACGTAAAATGTGCCTGTTCGAGGTGAAAATGAACCCAAGGGGTGCATGATATATTTTTAATTCTCAGTAGATAGTTAGGTAGTTCTATTTTGTTCACTTTAAGGTATTCATTTATTATGTCAAGTACAAAGAAGCGAAATTAAAGATTGTCCCTCCTTTAGTTTTTATTTTCAAACAAACTCATTGGCGTCTGTCCAAATTTTAAATCAAACTCTGAGGTTTTATCGCTTATTCCTTGACAATCATTAATTGAAATGGAGGAAAATTAAGTTCTCGTTTCAGGAAAATAAAAAAAAAAAATCCCGAATTTTAATCTGACTTCGCTGAAAATAGCGGTCACAGTATCTCTTCAAACAAGAAATACTCTGGGCTATATGTGTTCATTTATGTAAAAAAAAAAAAAAAACCTCAACCTCTAGTTCAATTGTGTATATGGTTCATGTATTTTAAGTTATGTAACTTTATCATACAAACCTTATGTGTAACTCGAATAAACGTTTTATTTGCAAACATAGTATAGAGTATTGAAAGGTTTATTCTTGCCTATATGCATCAGGAGAAACATTTACGCAGAGCTGGTGGGAACCGTTTTTCTTTGGGATAACTATCACTGTGACTAAGTAGTCTCCAGACAACCTTGTTTCGTTTATTTCCTTAACCTCTATACTTGAAGGATCTGTGCTTGTGGTAACGTAGAACCTAAAATTACAGTAGAAAAACTAATCACTGTAAGTAAACAAAAATTATGTTGCATTATTTCATTTCATTTTAGTCTCAGTTTGTAAATAACGAATGAGTAAAACTGACAAAAAATTGTGGAGGATATTGGTCAATGATGAATTTCTTGAAATTTTCAAATGCTATATCAGAAGATTCTGTATTTTATTGAGGACAGCCCCCATCTCTTTCTCTCTATTCATCCATCCACCCATCTTTCATGCAGAAATAACAAGCTGAGACAACTATTTTGTAAACTCACCCAGTTCTTTCTGATACCAAAATCTGAACATGACAATCTTCATTCAAAGTGCAATTCATCCGTTTTGGTAACAACAGGTTGCCGAACAAAGGCTGAATTAACATTGTTATTAAAATGTTATATATATATATATATATATATATATATATATATATATATATATATATATATATATATATATATATATATATATATATATATATATATATATAATGAATTTGATTTTTGAACAAATACCTTTACCAAATTAAATATCTTACTTTCTTAACAAAAACAATTTAAACTTATAACTGCTAAAAACAAAGTGAATATTTTTAATGTCGATGTAGTTTTTAGAATTAAAAAAAACATTTAAAGTGTCTTTTACAGCAATTTGTAAAAGAGAAATATAGAAAACATAGTAATGCCACAGAAAAAAAACTAATTAGAAGAGGAAATAATCAATAAAGTAAACTAAAATATACCTACATATTGTATATTAATTTCATTATTCGCCGGAGGTACGCTAGTCTCTAAAAATAAAACATCAAATAAGGAGTTCTCTTTTCTTGTAAAACCGGATGAGGAAGTTTGAAACGAGACGTTTACATTAATTAAGGTTAATGTAACTGAATATATAAATACATATCTATCTACCTGAGGAACAGCTTTCACCGGAGAACCCAGCACGACATAAACATGCTCTCGTTGTTTTATGGCCGTCACAAAAACCGTTGTTGCAGCAGGATTGTTTGGCACAGGATCCTTTAACTACAAAATAAAAAAAAATTAAATCTTTTTCCCACATAAAGCCTTTAATTCTAAAGAAATGAATATTTGAAAGCTTTAATAAAATTTCTTTTACTACAAAGACAATGTTTTTCTTATTCAAGTTTTATCTTCAAAATTGAAATTGGTAGCACTATACACAGTACTTATCCATAATGTATAAACTACCTATTCTTCAAGGGTCATTGGATTTTTTTTCAAAGTGCAAAGTAGATATAAGAATCAAGCACAGCTGATGAGAAAAAACACATGTACGAATGTAATCAAATATATGCATACAAAAGAAACATTTACCACTCAGAATAGGAGAGAACTGAATTGTATAGCATCTTTTCCTGAATTGTAGACTTCCATGCCTGTTTAATATTTAAAAAGTATTTAAATATTTAAAAAAAAAAAAGGATTGCAAAGATAAAAGTCTAAAATACCAATTAAAATTACAATTTAAACAAAAATCTATTATACAAATGAAATATAATTAATTATAATTACTGCTCTTAAATTCTGTTAAAGTGTGTATTTAAAAAGAAATTATTTATTTAAGGAAATAAAGTAACTTATTAAACATGGCATACACCGAGTATTTTAGATATAAATATTGTACCCCATCAAAGTGAAGCAGCAGGAAATGTTCGACGGCTTATCCTTTTTAAACACAACATCATACATGCAAGGAGAAATTGTTTGATTTTTAGGAGAAATGATAAAAACACCTTTGTCAACATCCACATCAGAGCTCAGGCTTGGGCTGAAATACATTGCATAAATAAACTGATGTAAGGGTTCAGACATCATTGAATATCTCAGATAGTCAATTTACCTAGATTAATGCTTACCAGTTCCTTTCGGTAATAGCATTCTTTGCCCACAAGTTCAAATGGCAGTATTTACCTACGTTACACTGAAAAACAGACTTATCTTCAAATGTTGGTTTTAAAAACTGAGGGGAAACCTGAAATGATAGAAAATCATTAATTAATTATGTTTTTGATTTATTCAATTTATTATTATTATATCTAATATTATAATTTTGCTTTTAAGATGCATATTTGACACATCTTATTTTGACCCGATATAGTAAACAAAATGACGATCATCTTGCCTGGAAAAAGGAATGAAAACTAATGAAAAGATGCTCGCTCATAATTATCATGGAAAGGTCCGTTTGTCTTCAACTTAATTCATTTAGTGAATCCATACTTAAATTTGATTTTATGCAATCGTTTTCAATGAAGTTCTTTAACTTGTACTTTGAAAACCTAAGTTTTACAATCTACCTCACCTTGACATCTTTGTGATAATGGCCTAAAAACGAAAAACAGCTATATTAAAGCATTTCAACGTATCAAGTATGAAGATCAAGATTGTTTATCTCACATCCAGAAATTTGCTGTTTGATTTGAACATATTTTATTTCAATAAATATATGCAATGGGATAGGGCACAAGTTTCAGAAACTTAATTCGCCCTCTCCCTCTGCTGATTAAATATAGGGTATAAATGTTTTTGTTAAGAGTAAAACAAAAGTTCCTACAGAAAGAAATCTGAAGAAAACCAGTGTGTTTTTTATAATGATAAGCTTGATTTTTTCTTCATATTCAATGAAGATATTCCCTTTTTAGAGATTATATCATTACTTTGCATAATGACTTTACCCAAAGTAGAAAAAATAAGACTTTTGCATTTTCAAGTTGATACATGTATTGTTTTGTATTGGATTAAAATGACTTGAACTCACCATTACGAACAACTATCTCAATACATATTTCATCTTGAATTCTAACATACCTACAATTTTTAAGTGATTATTAATACAAGAATATACACATGTAAACTGCTTAAAAACATACCCCCCCCCCAAAAAAAAAAAAAGAAACGCAATGTATTGTATATTTTTTTTTCCATATTTAACATGTTTATTTAGTATATCAGATCAAACAAATGTCATTTTAACACACATCATTGCCTTTCCGTATATCTGTAGGTATATATAAATCGAAAAACATTGTGTGTTATTAATTAAAACTGTTTCTGACGTCAAAAAAGAACTTTGTACGACGAATAAAGGAAAGGTTTGCATGCCCAATTTTTTGTGCTTCTTGCTTGCTTACGTGTTTACAGACGATGGAATGGGCGTTTTGCTTGGAGCACTTGTTTGTTCGAAGTGGAGAGATTCGGAAGCGGAATTATTATGGTGTTATTTGTTAAAACAAAAGAACAAATTAATTCATATTCCACTCAAAAGAACGGCGGCACAAAGGTATCCTGCAACCTCATTTTCTACTAGCAATCATTATAGAACGGCACAAAGGTATCCTGCAACCTCATTTTCTACTAGCAATCATTATAGGAAGGGAGATTTTTCAGCACGTTTAAATTCATAATTAGAGCTGTCTTCGAAAGGAATTAATGTATATGTTATCATTTGTCTATGGCACCAATATTTTTTTTTTCAATTCTTGATTATCTTCTTATTCCGTTTCTTGCATAATTATTGATTCTAAAATTTATTTAAACTTTATAAATCATACTGAATAGAAAATGTGAAAAGGTTTTTTTTAGTAAATTGTGTTTGTTTGCTAAGTCAATTATAAAAGAAAACTTACTCCGATTTTTCGACGGAATCTAAACAGAGATTTGCTTTTCCTAAGGAAGAACCTATGACTTCAGCAATACCATGGATAATCCTGCCAGAGGACTCAGAGTTCTGGAGGTCTATTCTTGTGATTTTTAATGAAGATGTTATAAATCCAGGAACAATTAAAGGCCTAGAGATTAAAAAAGTATGAGATTTTATATTTTTCTTTAAACATGAAAGTATTTTAACTCTTCAGTATTTTGCAAAAAAAAGAAAGTAGATTCTATCCAAATGCCCCTTCTTTATTTCCTTGGTAACAAGCTAAGAAGCAAAAATAGTTATTCTATAATTTTCCTAATATAAAAGCATCGATTGAGTTTACAATGTTCAGGTAAGCATTTAGCCCATGGTCATGGACCTCTTATGTTAGCATTCATATTATGAATTCATAACCATTCTGAAATTAAACACTGCCAGTAACCTTCCTATGAATGACTTGACTACTGCGTAAAAATGTTGAGCAGTTCTGAGAACAACGTTTTTTGACACTCCAATAACCTCTAGAATGAAAATCAAATTCCCAAACCTTATTGCACATCTTCAGACACATGCAAACATATTCCAATTACATTTTACGATGTTTACAAATCATCTTTGGGAACATGATTGGTAGTATTCCAGAGATGTGCAATAAGGATTTGGAATTTTTATTTTCATCCTTAGGACCAATTAGGATCGGCCGAAAATAGACTTTTCTCCACAACAAAAGACCATTGGCTTGAACGGTCAAGTGATTTTTATGCATATTCATATTGATTATAAATAACTATTGTGGACTCCTCCTTAATTACCAAGATACGAAGAAATTAAAGTATATGTACATTTAAGGTCATGATACCTTTTTTCCCCAAAACCATGAAAATAACAACTAAATATGTTTTTTTATATGAAAAAAAAATCAGATTAGGCCCACAAAGATTTACTTTTTATTTAAAGTTTCTCAATAATATCCTAAGTGATAAAAGATTGTATGAACATCAACTTACTTGCTACTGGTATGTCCCGTTACCGTGAACGGAATAGGACAAGGCAGGGAAATATAACAAATGGCGGTTTTCGGAAGTACACTATCTGTAAATTTGTTCTAAAATAAAAAAAAAAAAATGGTGGTTGAATATTCATGTACTGGTAAACAATTTCCTGTTTAAAAACAGAATACCTTCTCCCTTCTTAAGCTTCTGGATGACATAATTCATACAAAAAATCCAAAGTTATTGTAATTCAAATTCTATCCATATAAATAAGATATTCATACTGAATAGAAAATGGAAAATACATGATTCAATGAGTATATACATATAGATGAAATAAATCAAATTTAAATAGTTTTCCAATGAAAAGAAACTAATGGTTCTTCTAGTAGTTTTAAGTCACGATTTTAAATCATTTTATTGCTTAAATTATAATGTGTTCTTGTTCAGAATAGCAAAATTATAACAAGCATTACCAGGTATGTGAACATGTTTATCATAATTCCGATTTTTGCCTTAGAAATAGTTTACAATGATTACAAATTTACGACGCCGCCGATCAGAAAATATGCAGGGCATTTAAAGAAAAACAATACATGATAAACGTTTTCCTATTATTAACCATAGACAGAATATACTTCTGAGAGTTGATCTTTTCAATCATTTATTAAAAAAAATTAATTGAAATAATTCCGTTTTCACTAGTATAATTATACAGATCATGTTCAAAATGTACTGCAAACAACGCTACATAAGTACGTTATTCATGTGCCTGTTACTCGTATTACTTTATAGAACCTGTACATTAATATTTTGGAATTCAAATTCTAAAAAAAGAATAAATGACGTGTATTTTATAGACTTGAGCTCGCTGTGTAGTCAGTATTAAAATTCAACCCCTCTCAATGGCAATAAACCCGTCCATCCCAGCATGGTATTTTTTTAGGTCATATAATAATGCCTTACTTTGTTACATTTTCACAGCAAACACTGTTGCTGATTTAAATTATGTATTTTTAGGATAATTCTTTTTTAAACAAACAATTTCCAGGATTGGGGCAATTTCTTTTGCTCATTTTTCGAATTCAGGTAAGTAAGTTTTAATCATTAAAAAAGCTTCTTTTTTATCTTTCAAATGCAAAACAATAAAATATTTCATTTGAACAAAATGTAGTTTTCCGAAATATTTAGAACCCTTACCTCAATGTAACTTAAATTTGTGCGGTTATCTCTATCTGAAAAAAAATGATACAACGCCTTTCAGAACTTCCTAGAGAGTTATAAAATAACGTTTATCTAAACTCCCTTTACATGTGTAAAACTTTTGAATAGGAATTAAATCTAGCTATATTACATGTATGTGTCCAGAGTAATAACTACATTGAATACCTTGCTTGTTTAATATTCAAGCATTAAGTGTAATTTTGTAATGTTGAATCATTTACCATCAGAACAATTTGTTCCATGAAATCCCAATCGACAGATACATGTTTCCGTCAGATTCCGAATGGAATAACACCACGCATCATTTCTGCATTTGGACGAGCTTACACAATTTTCAGAAAACTCTAAATTTATAAAATGATGATATAAAATTATCTACAAGAGTAATCAGTTCATTATGAAACAGGTATAAATCTAGAAATATCACATTTACTGTTACCTTGTTGGAATGAATTTGAGTCAAGTATATAACACATCCTCTTGTATTTTTCATTCATTTATTTATTCTTCCTTTATTTCCTCCATTTAGAGATTCATTATTATACAGAAATACACAGTCAAAGAAAGTATCTTTACATAAGCACTAATTTGTACATGAGTGCATTAGTTAATAAGAAAATTTACTTTTTCTTATTAATCTTATTAAAAGTTAAATTTTTCTTATTATACTTTTTCTTAGAAATCGATTTCAAAATCATGATTTCAAATGCTTTTTTTTTAATTTAATTACATACTCAAGAACTTTACATATTTTACTTACATATACATGTATACCCAAGAAAAATTTCGTTTCTATTTTAACCTTGCTGTGGAAGATTCCTGCATTCTTATATGCAATAAGGAAAAATTATATTAAGAATGAACAGCTAACTTTTTTTCAGATAGTTATCACAGTTTATAATAAATGAAATACATGTATGTTCATTTTCAGGGTATTGTTTTAATAATCTGAGCATGTTAAAATTTTCTCCCTTTTCAGAATAACTTCAGTTTTTAATGGCAATAAAATTTCGAGTTTCTTTTCTTATTCCTACAGGTACGTAACACCCTTTTTCAAATTGGGGAAGGGGGAAAAAAGTTGTTTTTAAGGATAGGGAATTGAAAAATATAATTGACTAGCCATGAAATAAAATTTCCGGGAAAACCTTGACAAAAAATTGATGCAATCTTTAAAAATCTTCTTCTTTACTCCTGGACATCAAGCAGTCAAACTGTTGGCATGATTGTAATAAGCATTGGGCCCTCTACCTAAATTGTGAAATTCATGGCCCCAGGGTCAGGGGTTCTGGTGCTAGACCGGGGCTATATAGATCATATAGTGAAAGTGCATTATTTCTTTGAAAATCTTCTCTTCTCCTGGGTATTATTTAAACAAACTAAGTGCATGGTTATGACAAGCAATGATACCTTTTCCAAAATTGTGAAATTCATGGCCCCTGGGTCAGGGGGTTCTGGTGTTAGGGCGGGGCTCTTTTGATTATATAGTGAAAATGCATTAATTCTTTGAAAATCTTCTTCTCTGCCCCTGGATATTACATAAACAAACTAAGTGCATTGTTTTGATAAGCATTGATGCCTTTTCCAAAATTGTGAATTTCCTGGCCCCTGGGTCAGAGGTTCTGGTGTAAGGGCGGAGCTCTATTGATTATATACTGAAAATAAATTCTTTGAAAATCTTCTTCTCTGCTCCTGGGTATTATTTAAACAAACTAAGTGCATAGTAATGGTGCACAAGGATGATTTTCCCAAAATTGTGAAATTCATGTCTTCAGGGTCAGGGGTTCTGGTGTTAGGGCGGGGCTCTATTGATTATATAGTGAAAATGGATTAATTCTTTGAAAATCTTCTTCTCTGCTCCTGGATATTATATAAACAAACTAATTGCATGGTTTTGATAAGCATTGATGCCTTTTCCAAAATTGTGAATTTTATGGCCCCTGGGTCAGGGGATTTGTTGTTAAGGTGGGGCGCTATTGATTATATAGTAAAATGCATTAATTCTCTGAAAAAATTCTTCTCTGCTACTGGGTATTATTTAAACAAACTAAGTGCATGGTTATGATGCACAAGGATGTTTTTTCCAACATTGTGAAATTCATGGCCTTGGGGGGGGGGGGGGGGCTATTGAGAATATAGTGAAAATGCATCAATTCTGTTAAATAATCTTGTCTGCTCCTTAGTGTTGAGCAGATAGAAAAAGTGCATTGTTATGATGAACAATTGTGCTTCTTACAAAATTTTAAAACTTGTGGTCTTCAGGTTTTGGTGTTTCGGGGGGCGGGGAGGGGGGGGGCTATATTTATTAATAAAGTGAAAATGTGTTAATTCTTTGAAAATCTTCAACTAAGAGCATAGTTATGATAATGAGGGTACCTCTACCAAATTTATGAATTTCATGATCCTGGGACATGGGTTTTAGTGTTAAGGTAGGGGTGTGTTGAATCTGTAGTGAAAATGCATTATTTCTTTAAAAATCTCTGCTCCTTGGCATATCGAAGCATATCGAAGACAAACGGAATTAAAGTTTTAATAAGCAAGGATATTTTTACCAGATTTTTTTGAACATCAGGACCATTTGGTCAAGTGTTCTGGTCCTAGTCAGGGCTCTATTAATTTGTATTCAACTGAGAGAAGTTATTCCCCTTTGCCATTTACTTTTGATAATTAATCACTGTAAATAATGTATATGAAAGTTAATAGAATAAGAGAATTATGCAAAAAATTTTATTGAATAATTCAAAAAAGTACTTTTATAGTTTTAATGATCAGGTAGACTTGTAAATAATAAATAAATAAAAATGAGACAAAAATAACTTATTAATTCTTCAAAGACCAAGAGAGGCCAATGTGAGAGGTCACAATGTGGGGTTAAAAGTAGTACAGAGAAACTAATAGTTTGTTAATAGTCTGCATGGTGATAGTGCTAAATGGGGGGGAGGGGGGGGGGTAAAATAGAATTTAATGTATGATTTGTTACTGAATACTAGACTAAATATTTTATTGATTCTGATCATCCTATTTCTCTTGCTTTTGCGCAACAAAGCTTCATCTATCGGTTTATTTTATACTCTATGGATCCTCTAAATTGTTGTATAATACTCATGTGACCGTTAAAGCCCTTGGGCCTTTTGTTATTTTTCCGAATATAGTCTCTTGCAGTAAATTTATTATGGCATTTTTTTTTATTAAAAGGCTGCTCCCCTCTTACGTTTTGTTGCAGTATGGACGCCCCGCCACACCGTAAGTAGGTTTCTGAGTGGAACAGTTTTCTTATTGTATGTCAACGTTTTTCAGGGAATTTTTTTTTGGCTAATAAATTATATTTTCTGCCCCCTTACCCTAAATATCCATTATTTTTTGTTCCCCCTTCCTCGATTTGAACAGGGATCTGACCTACCTGCAATATGAATAAGAAGAGGAAGTGAAAATTTTCAAATGCAAAATTCAGTGCTTTTTGATGAGGTGGGAAAAATAGATATCATCTGCAAATTATCGAACATTGTAAATAATGTTGCAAAGAAGAGGGCTTGGGATACCATTTGTGAAAAAAAAATGATTTGTGTAAATCATCAGCTTATACACAGACTATTGAGGAACGCCAAATTGTAGCTTATACTTGTGATACTCAGAAAAATAAGCATCACCACAAACTTAGGATGATCTTAGGATAAGAATTATGTTGTCCTAATAGAGTTAGGACGAACTTATGGCGAGATCCTAGATTTAGGAAAGCTTCGAGAAACTGATTTAAGACTAGGATATTTCCCAAGACGTTTTTAGGGCACAACATAGTCCTAAGATAGCTTCGTGAACATGCCTGAAGGTAATCGAGGTTACCGTCGAACTAGATCTTAAGATGTGTCCTAAGTTGATCTTAGGATGTTCCTAACCTTCCTAACCTAAGTCATATCTTAGGATCATTCTTATCTCAGAAACGTTTCATGAACAAGTCTGCTGACCAAAAAGAAAATTACTACTATTTTGATTATTTCTTTTATATGCAGTACATCGGGTGAGCAAGTTATGTATTACTTTAAACAAGAGGCCTAAGGGCCTTAACGGTCACTTGAGTATAATGTGACAATCCATAGATTAAAACAGAATAAGCTGATAAATAAAGCCATGTTGCCCAAAAGCTAGAGAAATAGGATAATCAGGGATCAGCAAAGTATTGTTTTAGTACTCAATAACAAAGTTGATATATTTATTTGCCTGTACATTCCCCCATTTGTCACTATCAGACAAAACACTACCAGTTAACACATTTTATTCCACCCTCGCATTGGCCTCTCTTGGTCCTTTAAGATTATTTATTGTACAAAGATATGGTATTTTTGTACCATTTTCATTTGTCTATTATTCAAAACTTTTCCTGGCCATTGAAAACTATGGAAGTACACCTATATTAAATATTATAAAAAATTCTTGTATAGTTCTTTATTCAATTGACCTTCTAAGTAATATTATTTACAGTGATTAACTATTATAGGTGAATAGCAAAGGGGATAAACTTTTTCCAGTAGAAATTAATACCAGTAAACTGACCAAGGGTTACATAATTTCAAAATCTGGTAAAAACAACCCTGCTGATTACAACTTTTTACACTCTATTTACCTCCTAGATGCCCAGGAGCAGAGAAGAAGATTTTCAAGTAAATAATCATTTCCACTATAGATTTAATATAGCCCCACCCAATACCAAAGCTCCTGACCCAGGGACGAAGATAATCACAATTTTGAAAGAGTTGCCCTTGCTCATTATAACTATATACTTGATTAATCTGCTACATATCCAGGGACAGAGAAGTAAATTTCAAAGAAATAGTGCACTTTCACTATATAATCGATAGAGCCCCGCCCTAAAATGTAACACCAGAACCCCTGACTCTGGGGCCACAAATTTCACAATTTTGGAAGAGGCGCCCTTGCTCATCATAATTAGTCCCCTACCGGTGAAACCGGAGGGGACTTTAAATAGGTTTCCTTCGAGTCTGTCCGTCCGTCTCTTTGTTTGCCTATCTGTCCGTCTTTCTGTCTCTCTGCCTGTCTGTCAGTCTGTCCCACTTGGTTTTCCGCACTTTTTTCTAAACGCTTGCAGATACTGAGCTGATTTTTCATCTGTGAGTGTATCTTGATGAGTTACAGATCAAGTTTGCATTTCGTTCCGCTTCAATGATTTTTGACGGAATTGCGACCTTTTCAATTTTTCAGGGTTTTCCGCCATTTTTTTTTCTAAACGCCTACAGATATTGAGCTGATTTTTGGCATGTAATTTTACCTTGATGAGTTATAGATCGTGTGCATTTCGTTCTGCTTCATTGATTTTTGACGGAATTATGGCATTTTCAATTTTTAACGGGAACCAGATTACACTTGCCGGTAGGGGACTAGTATTGCTAATGCAATACTCTCAGAATGCTTGTTATATATTTGTTTTACCTGCTTAATACCTAGGAGCACAGATGAAGACTTTCACAGAAATAATGCACTTTCACAATATAATCAATAGAGCCCCCCTTTCCCGGAGAATCCCTCACCCTGGGCCACAAATTCCTCTTGGAAGAGGCACCATTGATCATCATAACCACGCAATTAGTTTATCTGCTTTATATAATGGGAAGAAAAGAAGATTTTAAAAGAATTTGTGAATTTTCATTATATGATCAATAGAGCCCGACCCTAACACCATAACCTTGACCCAGGGGCCAAGATATTCATAATTTTGGAAGAGGCGACCTAACTCATCATAAGTAGGAGCAGAGAAGATTTTTAAAGAAATAATGCACTTTCACTATATAATCAATATAGTCCCCCTCCCACAGAACCCCTCACTCTGGGGCCAAAGATTTCAGAATTTTGGAAGAGGCACCCTTGATCATCATAACCACGCACCTAGTTTATCTGCTTTACATACAGGGAATGAAAAGAAGATTTTTAAAGAATTTGTGCATTTTCACTATACATAATCAATAGAGCCCCATCTTAACATCGGAACACCTGACCCAAGGGTCAAAATTATCTATGTACATAGTTCATCGGCTTATTACCCAGGAGCAGAGGAGAGGATTTTCAAAGAATTAATGCATTTTCACTATATAATCATTAGAGCCCCGCCCTAACACCAGAACCCCTGACCCAGGGGCCATGAAATTCACAATTTTGGAAGAGGCGACCTTCCTCATCTTAACTATGCATTTAGTTTGTTTGCATAATACCCAGGAGCAGAGGAGAAGATTTTTAAGAAATAATGCATTTCACTATATATTCAACAGAGCTCCACCCTAGCACCAGAACCACTGACTCTGGGGCTATGAATTTCACAATTGTGGTAGAGGGCTTATTACAATCATGCCAACAGTTTGACTGCTTGATGTCCAGGAGTAAAGAAGAAGATTTTTAAAGATTGCATTAATTTCAGTGGTTTTGGTCCTACCCCTCAGGTTCCAGGGACCATGAAATTCACAATTTTTGTTCCCCTTCCCCCATAGATGCTATATGCTAAAATTGGTTGAAATTGGTTGAGCGGTTTTAGAGAAGAAGCTAAAAATGTTCAAATGTTAACGCACATTGCACGACGCATAACCTAAAAAGGAAATGATCGGGAAGCCTTATACGCATTCACAGGTAAATCAATGTCTTAGGAAGAAACTAAAGATACGGACGACTGCATATGCAAAACATGAAAGAGGACTCTTAACTTATGGAAAGAGAGTGTGTTAAGGGATAGAGATTATCCAATGGACTATATGGATGGTTGTGATCCCTCCAGGATATGACCGTTTCCCCTTCTATTTTATTTTTGGCTACTCAAAAATTTCAAACAGTTACTGACGACTTTGTATGGAATTGTAAGACGAGGATTTCAAGAATTGTCAGCAAAGATGTGTCTGAAGCATTTGTCAAATTTTGTTAAGGGTGTTATGAAAATATGATCAATTTTGCCCTATTTTGTGTACGCATGCTATTTCATACGTGAATAATTTCAATCTTTGTGAAATTGTTGCGATTTGTGGATTTTTTACATGAAGTATACGTTAATGTTATATGAAAAATAAAAAAAAATCATAATTGAAATTTAATTTTTCCACTTTCTTCATTGGCATTTTGCTCGCCTTATTCGCCCATCTTCCCTACAGGAAAGTTCATAGCGAACAAGTATTCTGTTGTGTCATGTGCTAGCAAATTAATTCCTCTGAATAGCAACAGTTCTGTTGCCTGATTCTGATAACGAAATGTAAAACAGAAAAAAATAATAAACGAATGAAAGAAATTAACATTAGTATTATCAATAAATTTAGTGAAATGTTAGATCTCACCTTTTTCACACAAATTGCCTGCTTTTCCATATTGACAGAGGCAAAAGAAATATGGATAAACTGGAACCGAAACGCAAGTATTGCCAAATCCACATGGGTATGAAGCACAAACATCTATCCCTGCGTTTTATATATATATATATATATATATATATATATATATATATATATATATATATATATATATATATATATATATATATATATATATATATATATATATATATATATATACAGTAGGGATGTCAAATTGGTCAATTTTTGATAATCGGTTACTCGAACGTTTTTCCGATCGAGTACCCGGGTACTCGGTACATGTAAAAATGTAGTAATTTTCTTGAGCCACGTTAAGCTACATGTATGTTAAACCCCACAGCTGTTTTTATCACGTTTATAAATGTATGTAAACATTAAGTCTAATGGAATTGATTTTTGGTACTAAATTTATTTATCAAATTAACACAAAAGACACAATTTATACATCAAAAATTACAAATGGTTTACAGTTCTTGTTTAGGATCTATTTCATCAACGCAAAAGGAGGACAATCTGTTATGCAGGTTTGTGATGATTAGACTAGCGAAAGGGAAAGAACGGACGTTGTTGGTTTGCTAGTATAAGTTGGTTGTTTCCCCCGTGTAAACTTACTACACAATCTGACTTTCAACGTTTTTTTTCAAATCTTTAGTTATTTCTAAATATTTCTTCACTTTCGAAGTGGGTAGCGGCGTTTCTATGCATGTCCGATTTCGCTGCCATATATTAACTAAATAATTTAACAATGATTTGAAGATAATAGACCATACTTAATCAAATCGATGTTCACTAAAAGCAATCATTGAAGCCATCTAAAAATTAAGGAGCACAATAGGTGAGAACAGCTGTGTACCAGGTGATTGGTCACTAATTACTGTATATACACAGCCACAGGCGATAACGTTTTTTTTTTTTTTTTACAGGTGCACGTAGATGACTTTTTTTGATAGTTTTTGATAAAAATATGTACTTTGAAATAAGAAAAAAATACACTTTCGAATAACCGAGTACCATTTTTAGTATTCGATACTCGGACGTTCGATCGAGTACCCGGTTAATCGGGTACTCGTTGACATCCCTAATAGATAGATAGATAGATAGATAGATAGATAGATAGATAGATAGATAGATGGATAGATAGATAGATAGATAGATAGATAGATAGATAGATAGATATAGATAGATAGATAGATAGATAGATAGATAGATAGGGTATGACTTCATATATTCGAATATATATATATATATATATATATATATATATATATATATATATAAATTGGTAAGTGGTAACAATGCCTTGAATAAGGAACTAACCTATATTAAACATATATTTTTAAAAAAAAAATAAAAAATTGGTACGAAACATAATAAAACAAATGTAGTCTTTAAGGTTATTAAATTCCCTAAATTACTCTATTCAGTAAAAAGGAACAATAATTACATTAAACAGTTTATATATATATATATATATATATATATATATATATTTATATATATATATATATATATATATATATATATATATATATATATATATATATATATATATATATATATATATATATATATATACTTGGCAAAATTTTGTAAAATTGCAGTCCAAAGGTCATAGTTAGTGCGTACAGCATATGGATAAAATGCTATTAACATTAAAATAACTTTTTTAGATTAAGATAATTATTTTCTTCAAAAAACAAATCAAATCATAGTAAAAACTAAATGAGTCACAAAGAAAGCGGCTGTCTTTATTCATTGATTTTTTTAGTATCCATTATTGGACAGATATGGAATTTTTTTTTTTACAAAAATGCAAGAAATGTGTTTCTGAAATCGATGGAAAAAACGACGTCGGCCATTCGACTGGAACAGAGTCCAACAATAGATTGTGTTTTCATATGGTTATGCTTCGTATGAGATAAAAATAAATATTCAACTAACTTATGAATTATTGGAATATATTAGTTCAATAATTTCAATTGCTTGATTTTTCAGCGGTGTATACAATTAAGAAGTCAATTAAAGAAGTGGACAACACTTTAATGAAAAAAGGACATCCTTATTTAGTATTTATGACGTGGTTATAAATCTAGGCAACGTAGGACAGGCCCGTGTGTGTTTGTGTACCATAGGCACTCTCCAGCTTAATTGGTGAAAAAATATCTACTTTAGTATAAACATAACAAGGCCTGCAATTCATTTTCGGCAAACTGGTCTCGTCCGGAAGTGCTTAGTCTAAAACTACGTTTGTTTCGAGCTACGATATGTATTTTTCTAAACTGCTTATATGTTCATTCATAGACGAACAGTTATTTTGTTTAGAAATATCACTATTTGACTACTTCCGGTGTAAAGACGGATAATGACCCCTGTAGAATAATGACCGGGGGTCATTTTTCGACATCAAAAAAAATGACTCCGGGTTCTTTTTTTCCACTTCGAAAAAATGACCCCCGGTCATTATTCGACGTCGAAAAAATGACTTTTGACTGTATAAATAGTTGCATCACCCTTAAAATCTGCATACCCTACGTAACAAAAAATAACCCCGAAGAATAATGACCCTTTGTAAATTTTGGTAGGGATATATATATATATATATATATATATATATATATATATATATATATATATATATATATATATATATATATATATATATATATATATATATATAAAATTTTCGGACATATTGCAAATGTATCTAACCAGTTGTTAAAGAAGAATTGTGATTTTTTTAGATACTTTTGATACATTTTCATTAAAACTGAAAGAACAAGCATTAATTAACTATCCATTGTATATGGCAAACAAAAGTGGAGATACAAACAATTTTAACCTTAACTGCAAGTAAAACTTCCATGAATCCCCAGAAACCGCAAAGGAATAGTGTCAATAAAAAACTTGATCACGCCGATATCCATATCTCGTCTCCAAAGTTCAATCCATGTGCTTTATACAAGTACCATTTCTGATTTTCTGGATGCTTTCATTTATCAGAGGAATGATAAATCTTGTCGAAATATCAAATCTGTTCGAACAAATATGTAATTCGCCAAGTTATCCAAGGAAATATCCAGTTTCTACAAGCAATTCTGATTAACACAATTTAATCTACTTTCGTCTAATATATTTAATATGTCCAAAGAAATAACTTATTTGTCCACAAAAAAATCTTGTTTGTAGGAGCGAAGTACGAAATTGGCAGAACTATTATCTTATTTTTAACAAATTCATCCTAACAATAAAAGATTTTTCTGGGTTCAACAGCACCATACTATTGTATTATATTCCGTATTGGTAAAAGTTATGGCCTTCATGTATTTTTTTTTTTAAATTTGTCATTAAGATTTTAAAATTAGAAAATGTATAACCTAAAAAATAAAACAAAATGAAAAAAATTAATGTATTTGGTAAAAAGGTTGTTATTATTATGACCCAGCAATTTCAGAAATGTTGATTTTGATTGAGATCAAATATGGAGGTAACGAACAGTGATCAAGTTCAAAAGTCCACTGAAACAATACAAATCAAGAGCATCCCTGTAACATCGTCTTATTTATCAGTATCCTGCCTCTGTTTAAAAGGAGACTTAAATACCATATGCAGACGATAGTGGAACATAACCACATAAATACATGTAAGAAGTTGGCGATGGGAAAGCCAATTTGGAAGTCCTCCCGTTTGTAATAAAGTTTAGATGCTACTTGGCCAAAATCAGTAAAATATTCAAATATGAAACGGATGATGAATAAAGATTAAGATTACAGGTTTTAGCCAAAAGTTCCCGTGACGTATCTATTGTGCAATTTTATTGTGTGCTAAAAACACAGTCGATGACATATAAAGATAACGAACATAATCAAGCTCAAAATTCCATTGTAACATTACAAGGGAGCAGAGCAGACACGGACCTCTGAAGACATCAGAGGAGGGATCAGATGCCAAACAGGATTTAGCATCCCTTGTCGACGGGCCACATTCGCTGTGTATGCCTTGTCATGACTGGGCAAACAGAAAGATCAGAAGACAATTCGGTAAGAAAGAAATGGCCTAACAATTTGTATGAAAAAAAGTCAGTCAACATTCGACTTAACGATAGCAAGTACTGTATCGACCATAGAATTTGCGAAATGTTGCCTTTAAACGAGATTGTTGATATCCTTGTATCATCCACTTATTTGGCAATAGCTTGTCTCGTTTTAGAAATTGTTCACATGCAGAACATGCTCTTGCGTATCAAATCAATTAGGAGATATCAACTCCAAATACAGATGATAATGGTATCCCTAGCAAAAAATACTATAGTTATCTGTAGTTTAACTATAGTATCAAAGTTTTAACTAGAGTAAATAAAAATTTTACTATATAGTAAATCAAGGTATATTTACTATGGATTTCATATTATTGTATTCAATGTTCCCAAACTCATACATATTCATTTTTTATATTAAATAGAAGTATTAGTTGTATGTTCACCTAATTATTATTTCAAAATTTTACACCATAGTTATCGAGTAAAGTTTCATAGTAAATCAAAGTAGCAAAATATTTACCACAGTTAACAATAGTAAACAATCATTAACTACGATAAATTTTTGTTAGGGATATTGCAACTTAAATAAGGGAAGTTGACGTTACAAAATTTGAAGTTATCATGTTTTTCATAAAGTTTTGTTGTTAAATTGCAATATGTGTATTTCTGTGTAAAATATCCAAATGGTTATAACAGATCTAAACACATGTGATGCTGTTTTAGAACAATTTAATTGCGTGTTCGTCCTAAGTTCGTCAGAAAAAAGCAGGGGACTTAAACGTTAAGACTTAAACCTTGTTATCAATCACCTCTTTCAAACTTAATTACTCTGTTGTTTCACAGGTAGAAAACTGTCCCCTAGGGTTCTCCTTAAAAAAAACGACATTTTTCTTCGGCTTGGGGGTCATTTTTCAACGGCGAAAATTGCCACCGGTCATTTTTCTACGTGGTCATTATTCCTCTTTACACCGGCCGAGATAAAATTGACAAGAATGGGGGAGTTTCAGGCCTTGTTATGTTTAAAGTTAAGTAGATTTTTTTTCTTTACCAATTAAGCTGACCTATGAGGTGCCTAAGTGTATACGAAGTATTTATACTGATGACACTCGTAAATAATCGTCGTGTATTGTTTTTAAAAATTTACTCAGTTACTGTGTACATGTATGTATAAATATAATCTTACACACATGGCAATGTTGCATAATGTAGAAGAAAAAATATCGTACTTTTTTCACAAAATGACCCAGTAAATCCCAGTCCTGTGCAGACGCAGTTAAACCCGGAATAGTCATGAAAAGGCAGACAGCGTCCAGAATTTTGACACGGTTCAGAAGCGCAGGGATCTAAAAATAATTTGAATACACCATCACAATAGCAGAAGAGTTTATCGTTGATGATATTTCCTTTATATAACTTCTTTATATTTGTAGATTTATGAAAGACTTAACTTCTTAAAAGCTGCATAACTTTCAGTTATTCTTCAAATTTAAAAAGTTAACATTTACCTGGTAATTCCACTGTAACATTAACACACATTGTTGAAAAAGCTTTGCTAGAAGTGAAAAAAGAGATTGTTTATGGTATTAGAAATATTTATTTCACTGAAATAATGAGAGGACTTTTGGATCAGTATCGAATTAGTTTCTATGTGACCCAAATGAACAGCTTGTTTTGAAACCTCATTGGGGAACTTTTCTTTTACAGAATGCAGGCAGTCTCGAGGAGAAGGAAATTGGAAAAAAAAACTTCTTTCATTTCCATTTTTAAAATGAATCACGATATTTTTTTTTTCATTTTCCCCAAAAGCATACCTTGTTCAAAATCAAAAATAAAATGTTCACAATTTTCTGAAATATTTAAGTGCATATACTTACAACATTTTTATATGTATTGCTGATAGAAGACAAGACAACCACAACTGCATTGAACTGATTACATGTAATTCAGGTGCAAACATTTCCAACTACGTGTAGCTTTATAAATAAAGTTATTATATGCCTGTATGAATATATTATTACCGATCAGATACTTTTAAACAAACTTTCCGGGGACCAGCGTGACTTGCAAGGAATTCTACTTGTGCCACTTTTGTGTCGATTGTTCCGTTTATGAGTTCCCTGCTGTACTGAATCGTGACATTCTCCATGCTCTCTGCTGTGCTAACAACGCTTCTGATTCCCCTGTTACGGGTTAAAGGAAAGAAATGCTTTCACTTCTAAAGCTTTATTTTTGGAAATTTTTGACGTTGCTATTTCATTTACTCTTTAAAGTTGATTTATTTCTATACTATTATACCTGTTGTGGTAGAAAACTTATAAGATATTTGGTTGTGGAATATCATTTTCTTCTGATATTATTTTTCTCATTTATATAAATTAAATCAAATTAAATCAAAATTGGGTCTCGGTATGAATTCTTTTATATTAATGTTACAATTCTATTTTAGATGAAGGGGGAAAACTCATCAACAGGAAACACAAATAATTGACTCTGAATAAAACATTATTTTGGCATTAACAAGGGTTATTTCTTTACACTAAGAAAAGAACCATAATGGCTCATACTTCTTTTCAGGGAGACTGACATGCCCCTTCTCAACACTTTTAACTAAATTTATCAATTGATTATCCTGTATTCTCATTCTGTTTTGAAAATGTTACTTTGGGTCTTAAAAAATTGCAATAATCATTCTTTTCTTCTCAACATACCCCGAATCTGTAGTGGTGGCATACACAGGAAATCTGCAGTATGTTTCTTTTTTACACGTTAGATCCTTTGAATCAGGAAAGAAAACAAAGAACGGCTTCCCCTGAAAAAATAAAAGCATGATTTAGAACCTTTATAAAGGTCCACATTTCTTTTATAAAGGCAACTGATTTTATAAGTTTAATCTATTACAAAGGAATGGCAAAATACTGATTTGTTAACCTAGATGCCAGTCAAACAATGTTAATCAGTTTCAAAATTGGCTTGATCTTTTATTTTTCTTTTACACACATTTATAAGACTGCTTTATAATTATATTTGATTATGTGTCCAAATCTCTATAAATGCAATGGAGGGGATCAAAGCATCTAGATTGATTACTAGTTAACTTCTTACTTGTAAAGCTTGTCTTGGTTGAAATGCAATTCCTAAATGGAAAAAATATACTATAGGTTTGACTATATAAATTATTTTGTTCATCGAGAACAAATAGCACACTTTATAAAAGCCGAAAGTGTGCGATTCGTTTTTTAGATTCATTTCTCGATGTACAAAATAATTTATATAGTCAATGCTTATAATTCAATTTTGGTGACAAACATGCTTCTTTTCATGTACATATTCGTTATTTAGCTTACTCAAAAAAGTGTGCACGAAATTAATAATCTACTAGGTTTATTAATCAGAAAGTTATGAAAATCTGCACGTGCAATTTTCATAACGATTAAAAAATAAAGCAGGCAGGAACTTGCTTTGTTGTTAGTAAGCAATCGGTCAATGGTCACAAGTCTAGTGTAGTGCCACGGAAAATTAAAATGAGATATCTTCAGGTTTATATAAATTTCTTGAAATAAACTTGTCTATGTATTACATTAGTATATGAACAACTTCATTGTCAGTTAACACCCTTTATTAAAATAAGTTCATAGGAAGAAATACAAAGTCAAAATGAGATAAACACTAACATCAAGAAAAAGTCTGAGCTTCCTTTTTATTGTTTTATTATTTTTTTTGTAAGCCATATAATAAGATTTACTTTTTTCTAGATTTGTTTTCGATTCATACATGTACTAAATTCTGTGTAGTGCTGTTACTTGTTAACATAATACGCAATCACGTACTTCTTTACAGAGTTATACCCCTTGCCATCCTCGGCATAAAGCAAGGATAGTAATTATTATGTATCACTTAGTAATTAAGTTGAACTTTAATCATGAATAGAACATAGTCATTCTTTTGGAAGAGTGTTAGTTTATAAGGTCATTCTAAGAGGTAAAATACTGCCGAACATCGTATTGAAAGTAGTTTAGCCCCTTAAGTATTGGAAAATGAACAGAACTTCTCTGTAGAAATCCATTAGTTCAAAATGATGAAAGTAAGGAAAATCAAATTATATTGATTTAATTATATAATGAATTCATAATAAATGTAGCTGCTTTTCTTCGCTTTTTTTCTTCATGAACGATGTTGTGCTATACATTATTTATGGACTAAATGAGAATGTAAACTTTTTTGAAATTAAACAAACCTTTGATTAGGATGCGAAAGCAGTGCAAATCTACAGTCATTCTCCTGTTAAGAAAAAGTACACTCTTCTATCAAATATTTTATGAATCTAGTTCGCACAAACATCGAATCTTCACACTTTTTACTTAACAGCATAACTTTATTTTGTGAAAACTAGCTAATTTTTAGCTAGTTTCTATCACCTGGTAGGCTTAAAGTCTAGGAATGCTCTAATTTGGCAAAAGCATCCTTGTTTTCTTTTGTTGCAAAATGAGTTACCACAATTCCTTACTTTTGACAAACAAACTCGGTTCAGCGCTATGATAATCTGTACAAAAGTCATACGTAGCATTTTTGTTGATCTGCCACTATTTCCCGATTGCAAAATAGTGGACTTCACAGAAATTTCGTAATGCCTATCCCTTTGATCTCAAGATCATACCATTCAATACACTATCTACTAGTTTTGAATCTTTTTTTTCCTTTAAAAATTAAAAGTTTTAAAGTTAGATAATAAAACAATGTAGAAGGTAAGACAGAAATCACTAATCGAGTTTATTATTGTATTTCATCATGCAGGATAAAAGTTATACTCTTAAATTATGTAGTAAATCCTTTAAAAGGTTCTTTACTAAATTTATAATAGTTACATGTAAATAATATAAAAGTACATATTACGTACAATTACTTCGATTATTTTAATGAACTGCCAATACTTATAAATTATTTACATTTAGCCCTATATTTTTGATAAACATAAAATATCCATTACCCGTCATCATCCTCAGCATTTGCACACAGAATGTGGTGTCCTATGTCCTTTTCTGTTAGCAACCAGCTCACTGATATAAAGACAGCATTAGTACTGATGTGTGATGCATCTTGAATTTTAGTGTAGTTAACACGTCTTCCATCAATTCTCAATACATCGAAGCGTACTATTTTCCTACAAAAAAAGGAAAGAAAAGACATAAATTTGTGTTCATAATCATGGAAAGCAGAGAAGAATTTTCGAGAGCTTCAGGTGTCTATTTCTATTAAGGGCCATTCTCTGTAGGGAATTGAACTTTTTAATTGCTTCTTTATTTTTTTTTTCTATATGAACCATGATGTTATATATCATTCACAGACAAAATGAGAATGATGTAAACTTTTTGAAATTGGACAAAACTACAGTCATTCACCTGCTAAGGTTTCACTGAGCTTTTCTGATCACCTTTTGACAGTTGTCTGTCTGTCTATCAGTCCGTCTGTTTACTTTTTCGACATTTCCAAGAACCATTGGGCCAAATTCAACCAAACTTGCCACAAAAGCATCATTGTAAAAAGAGAACTAAGGTTCCTTCAAACAAAGAGCCACGTCCTCTTTCAAGGGTAGATAATTAAGAAATCGTAAAAAAAATATATATTGGTGGGGATATTGAGAACACCTAATAATAACGTTAGATTTGAGTACAGGAAGGGATTGCAAGATGCAAACAAATGCTGAATGCAGAATATCACTTTAAATGCGTAGCAACCATTGAGCCAAATTGTATGAAGATGCAAATATTCAAGTTTCAAAAAAAATATGTCAATTGGACATAATTAATGAACTTTTTAAATTAAAAAAAATTAAAGAGTAAACGATATATAGCAAAAAGAGCAAAATGAATGAAAAATAAAATAGTACCTCTATGGTAACGCAATCTTTTTAAACAGCCTTTTTAGCTCACCTGAGCTGAAAGCTCAAGTGAGCTTTTCTGATCACCCGTTGTCCGTCCGTCTGTCCGTCCGTATGTAAACTTTTCACATTTTCAACTTCTTCTCAAGAACCACTGGGCCAATTTTAACCAAACTTGGTACATAGTATTCTTGGGTGAAGGGGAGTGTAAATTGTTAAAATAAAGGGCCAAGTCCCCTTAAAAGGGGAGATAATCAAGAAAAGACAAAAATAGGGTGGGGTCATTAAAAAATCTTCTTCTCAAGAACCACTGGGCCAGAAAAGCTGAAACTTACGTGGAAGCATCCTGGGGTAGTGAAGATTCTAAATTGTTAAAATCATGACCCCCGGGGGTAGGGCGGGGCCACAATAGGGAATCCACGTTTTACATTGAAATACATAAGAAAAATCTTTAAAAATCTTCTTATCAAGAACCACTGGGCCAGAAAAGCTAAAACTTATATGGAAGCATCCTGGGGTAGTGTAGATTATAAATTGTTCAAATCATGACCCCCCGGGTAGGGCGGGGCCACAAAAGGGAATCCAAGTTTTACATTGAAATATATAGGAAAAATCTTAAAAAATCTTCTTCTCAAGAACCACTGGGCCAGAAATACTGAAACTTATACTGAAGCATCCTGGGGTAGTGTAGAATCTAAATTGTTCAAATCATGACCCCCGGGGGTAGGGCGGGGCCACAGTAGGGAATCCAAGTTTTACATTGAAATATATAGGAAAATCTTTAAAAAATCTTCTTCTCAAGAACCACTGGGCCAGAAATACTGAAACTTATATGGAAGCATCCTTGGGTAGTGTAGAATCTAAATTGTTCAAATCATGACCCCCGGGGGTAGGGCGGGGCCACAGTAGGGAATCCAAGTTTTACATTGAAATATATAGGAAAATCTTTAAAAAATCTTCTTCTCAAGAACCACTGGGCCAGAAATACTGAAACTTATATGGAAGCATCCTGGGGTAGTGTAGAATCTAAATTGTTCAAATCATGACCCCCGGGGGTAGGGCGGGGCCACAGTAGGGAATCCAAGTTTTATATTGAGATATATAGGAAAATCTTAAAAAATCTTTTTCTCAAGAACCACCGGACCAGAAAAGCTGAAACTTATATGGAAGCATCCTGGGGTAGTGTAGAATCTAAATTGTTTAAATCATGACCCCCGGGGGTAGGGTGGGGCCATAATAGGGAATCCAAGTTTTACATTGAAATACATAAGAAAAATCTTTAAAAATCTTCTTCTCAAGAACCACTGGGCCAGAAAAGCTGAAACTTATATGGAAGCATCCTGGGGTAGTGTAGATTATAAATTGTTCAAATCTTGACCCCCGGGGGTAGGGCGGGACACAATAGGGAATCCAAGTTTTACATTGAAATATATAAGAAAAATCTTTAAAAATCTTCTTTTCAAGAACCACTGGAGCAATAAAGCTGAGACATATTTGGAAGCATCCTGAGGTAGCGTAGATTCTAAATTGTTCAAATTTTGTTCCCCGGGGGTAGGGCGGGGTCACAATAGGTATTGTAAAAGGGGGGAATTTGGTAAAGAACAGCATGGCCAAAGTTACTCAGGTGAGCGACGTGGCCCATGGGCCTCTTGTTGACTCTTATTATATGCCTAATCATATCGAATTAATTGATTCTTATAATATTTGCGTTTGTTAGAATTTGGAAGTTCATACTTTGCAATGCAAAAATTAAGGTTTAACACCCTGTTGGCATGGCAATCAAGATACTAGTAAGCACATTATTAATGTATCCATTCCTTTTCATTATCTTTAGATATTTGATGTCTTTTAGCTTGTTCACTCTTTCAAATAATAGCATTAGACTTTTAAAAAAGATGAATTTATTCCATATTTTATTAATTACAGGACTTCGTTGAAATGATACCAAAGTTGCGACCTATATCAAACGGATTCCCCATTGTTTCTATTCCCCATTTGTTTCTTTCTTAATCAATGACTTTTTATTACTTTTTATTTCTACATATCTGTCTTTAACTTTCTTTTCCCCTGCAAAGCCACACTTCAGATTCGAAATAGCCAAACCATTTCAATTTTTTACTCTTACATATTATGAAATTATTAAATCTCTACTTAAACAACAAAATCCATTTGATTAGGTAATAAAATGTGTTATCATCAGTTGTTTAAATTTGCATGAAGAAGGCCTACTTACTAAAGCATGAAGATCCTTGATCATACGTGCCAAAAAAGTTGTGCTCGTAGAGAATGGCTCTTAATGTTTCCTACCATCATTTTTTTTCAGTTAGTACCTTTTATGTGAACTCTTTGCAAAAAACCTAGCGTGAAAGTCCCCTCCAACAAAAACAGTGTAACCCTGATTGTTTGCTGGAGTCGGTGGTATAAACTCAGGTGGATCAGTTCTTCCTGTTATTTTAAAATACATCTGAAATTAAGCAACAGAAAGTTTCTGGTTATTTTAAAATGCACATTAAACTAAGCAATAAGAGAGAATTAACCCGGAATACTTTGGAGGGTATTTGAATATGCATTTTATGATTGTCAGTGTTCATAGAATAGCAAGCGTATAATGTCATCTGAGTATCACATGTTTTTGTTTTCAGGGTTCTCCATCATTTCAAATTTAACTATGGCGCAAGACTTACGCGAAGTACCAATATTTGCGGTCATTTCGCGACCGAATTAGCGAAAGAACCACGAAATAAATTGAAAAACACACAGCCCCTATGAATGAATAGTTTAATAATACACAAATGGCATTAAATATTGATGAATCTATTGTTAACTTTTCAACATTACAAAAATACTACTTCATGATTACGATACACGTACGATGTCCAACTCGCAGTGCCAATGCAATTTTAGAGACTTGGTTATCTATTAACTATTAAAGCATGAATTAATTGATATTCAAAAAATTCATTTGTAATGATCGTGAAGCGTGAAAAAAATGGCTAGTCTCATTTATGTGTCCAGCGAGGTCTAGAGATAATTGATTGTGCAGGCCAAACAATGTGCCCTAATTAGAGTAAATTAACGGTTTAGCATGAGAAACTGAAAAAGATACATAATTTGGAAGATCATTTGATTTATAAAATATTCTTACTGAAGACGTCGATCTTACTGCGCTAAGGAATTTAACTGTGGCGTGGCCGCCACGTTAAACGGCCAGTGAGGAACCCTGGTTTTAAATTTTGATCAGCCACAATTTAAGTCCAACCGTGGACCCAAATACTGGACGAAAGTGACATAAATTTTAATATTTTGGAAAAGGCTTATATTTTACATAATTATATCCTTGTGTTAACATTTTGTCTAGAAGAAAGACAGAAAAAACTTTTAAAACATTTTGATATATTATCCCCTTCACCCCACGCTGATTAATTCTACAATTTGAAACATTACTCCTTGTCCATTAACAAGTTGAAGAATGTATCCTCTAAATGTTCAGAGGTATTTTTTGAAGTTATAATAAGCCTGACAAAATAAAATCATCGAAAGCCACGAGTTCTGTGTCCATTCTATTTCCACAAACCCGTGGCCATTATGTCATTAATATTTACTAAAACGAAAGAATTTTGCAGTAAACAGCTACGGTTTTTTGGAAATAGAATGGACACAAAAACCGTGGCTTGCAACGATGACTAGTACATTAACCCATGCACGCACGGGTTGAGGAGGATGAATGAATTGGCGAAATAAATCAAAGTCAATTGAGTTGAACATCTTAAGAATTTAAAAAAAATTAAAAATTTAAAAGTTAGTAATACGGGGTTTTGCTGTTACTATATTTGCATATCAAATTTATAAAGATACATATTGGTTCGAATTGCACCTGAAAAAAATTACATAATAAAACGAACTTTATGCATCCATTTTCTTTTCATTAACAATTCAGATATTTTTGAGATCGTACAAGCAATAAGCATTATATGCAGTCAATATTAATGTCTTCATGTAATCCATACAAATGCGAAGGGTTTATTTGATGGCCTACGGAGATTGAAAATTTAGCTAAACCCCAAACAAAAATGAATATCAGTAAAATATCTACACTGTGTATAGGTGAGAATATATTTTTTTTTCAAAATGAATCTCTTTCTTGCAAGCACTGAAAATTTTCGCTGCAAAGAGGGTTTTCGGTCTATCTCACTCCCCTTATGGAGTAAAATCCATTTTAAAGCGATTATCTATGAGAAGATAACCCACCCACCCCACCCCCACAAACACACAAGAAATGCCTTTGAGTATGGATTATTTTTAATTAAAAATATTTCCTAATTGGATGTTTTAGAGGATAATACTCCCCTGGAGAAATAGTAAAATATTTGGATCCACTCTTGATTCTATCTACTCAACTACAGATTTGCATCTTACATTGTATACGTATGTGTTATTTTCACTAAACCAATGAAAAATATTTCATTTATATGCAAAATCGTCAGCAATCTCACAGCAGCGAATATTTCCAAGTTGCTACTTTTCTAAAGTACGCATCACACTGGTAGCTGGATTCATTAATTATACCCGCACTTTCTAAAGAAAGTTCGGATATATTGTTCCGGTACCCTGGTCCGTTCGTCCGTCCGTCTATCATACTTCCTTTTTCTCCAAACCTCTTTTATTTTAAGCACTAACCATTTCATCTTTTGGAATATGATAGTTGTGTCCTGAAGATGTGCAATAAAATTTTTGGAATTTTCATTTACACCATGGGGGCCAAACCGGGGTCGAAAATGACTTTTTTTTTTTTTTTTTTTTTTTTTTTACAAAAACTGGTTCACAAAACTCCTCTTACATTTTAGGCAGTAGCCTTATCATCTTTCGGAAGGTACATGTACCTGCTGGCGTCCTTTAGATGCGCAATAGGGTTTCCGAATTTTCATTTTTATCCTGGGGGACAAAATGAGGTTGAAAATGATGGTTTTTCTACAAAAACCTGTTACCTAGAACTTCTCCTACATTTTACACAGAAGCCAAATCATCTCTGGAAAGGTGATTGCTGGTGTTCTATATATATGCAATAAAGTCTTGGAATTTTCACTCTAACGCGCTTCATGAAATATGCCGGCGTGAAGCGTCGTAATTCATGTTCTCATGAATCTTCAAAAATTAAATTCATTTCTTAATTGAATTAAATTTATATATATATATATATATATATATATATATATATATATATATATATATATATATATATATATATATATATATATATATATATATATATATATTGTAATTAAGTCACCTAACTAAAGAAAACATTTAATGTAAAAAGAAATGTATTTGTAAAAGAATTGTAATTTACGTGTACTTACAGTTCTTATTCTTTATATTTATGCTGATACCTACTGATGCTCAGAATATCGTACTAATTTTTTTTGTCTATATTTTAGCTTTCACCAAGTCGCAGTGGAGTATTTCGGAAGAAGAAATTAAGAAAACCATCCGAAACAAGTTGAACAACTACCACAAAAAAGTCATGGGATGGGAGAGACGTCCTTCCAAGGATACCGTTCAAGAAAAAGACTGAATTTATGTAAATATCTGTCTGAAAAATTTCCTGGTCCATTGAAATTGCCATTCCAAAGTAATGTGTTTCATGTAGTATTAGATTTTTGTAGTATTTATTGTAGTAGGACTATCTGTTTTCAAATGTTGTCATATTTATTCTTATTGCTGGTTTTTTAAGTTATAACTGTAATATACTTTCACTGAATTTTTAACTGTTAAAAAACTGCAAGTATTCAAACTTTTGATGTCAAACTATTAAATTGCCTTCATAAGTATTGTTTTAAGAGGTTTATTTGTATATGTTTACATATTTTTTATTTCTCCTAAGAGTTGTAATATGTTTGAAGCACAATCTGTTTCATTTTTAGAGCTAAACATAATTTTTAAAATATTTATTTTTAGAAAAAGTACACTGTTTTGCTTGTTGTTTTTGTAAATTTTAAGTATTGTTTTTCTTGCAATGCATAGAATGTGCCAAAATTCTGTGTGAAAAGCAGGGTTGTCCCTACGAAATGAAAGAGTAAGGGTCATTGAAAAGGAAGGGGGGTTAGAGTTTCTAGCTCCCCCGGGGGGTTGAGGGGTTACCAGAATAACTGGGGGTGCATATCATTATAGATGGGGAAACTCCCCAGGTCTTAGGGACAACTCTGGTGTTAAAAGGTATATGTTAAAATGTTATCAACATTGTCAAATACGAAAATGTTTTGTTCTACAGTCAGTTTTGTAACACTTATATCCAAAAAAAATGGAAAGTTGTAAAGTTTTCTGTGATAAACGTATATAAGATATTCATTTCCTGGTAAACATTGCATAATTTTCTGTGATAAAATTTTTACTTAATACGTCTTAGGTTTCGTCCAGTATTACTGACTTCTTTCAATTTCTTTTTCATATCTTGTATTTACAATACCAGAATTCCGTGTATATTGAATGCCATATATTTCTGAAACTTGATAGATATTATGGAAATTGAATTGAATAAAATGAATTATGTTTTTCTCTTACCTTCATCGTTTATTATTTTATTCTCTGAATTTATACAATATGTAAATCAAAGTTTTCATAGTGATCACTATAGTAAATCAAAGTGTCAAAGTTATCACTATAGTAAATCAAAGTTTTCATAGTGATCACTATAGTAAATCAAAGTGTCAAGTTATCACTACAGTAAATCAAAGTTTTCATAGTGATCACTATAGTAAATCAAAGTGTCAAAGTTATCACTATAGTAAATCAAAGTTTTCATAGTGATCACTATTGTGAATCAAATGAAATATATGGAGATAACGAACAGTATTCAAGCTCAAAAGTCCACAAAACATTACAAAATAGGAGCTCCAAAACATCAGAGGTGGGATCAGGTGCCACGGAGGCGTGAGCATCCCCTGTCGACCGGTCACACCCGCCGTGTGCTCCTTGTCATGATTGGGAAATAACCGGAAAATCCGTCGACAATTCAGTGTGTAAATAATGGCCTAACATTTAGTATGAAAAACGTCAGTCAGCATTTGACTCAATGATAAATTGTATTTGCTGACAAGTCATTGTATCGACCATAGAACTTACGAAATGATGAGTTTAAACGAGACTGCTGATATTCTTATTTCATCAACTTGTTTGTCAATAATTTACCTCGTTTTAGAAATTGTACATACGTAGAGCATGCTCTTGCGTATCGAATCAACTGAGAGATATAAACCCCGTATGCAGGTGATGAAGGTATATTGCTGCATAAGTAAGGGAAGTTGACGACTGAAAAGTTAAAGTCATCACGTTTATCATAAAGCTTGCTTGTTAGATTGCCATTAACGTCTTTTTCAAGTAAAATATCCTAATATGAAACAGATGTGTCAGACTCTGTAGTATTTTTATCTCAAGCTCACCGGGATATATCGAATATTCTTATCGACA